GCTGGGTCGAGAACTGGGTGGCAAGCACAAAGGGAATATCTATAGTTTCTACCTTATCATCACATGTAGCCCAGCTAGATGAGTGAAGTACTAAATGCTGGCATCGAGGCAGCCTTACGACTCTCTCAAGTCGCAGCATTCTGCATGCCAAATGCGGGGCTGCCGCATCTCCAATGATTGTGCCAATGACTGCCTCTCGCAGCGTCTCTGTCGCTTGAGGATTCGCAGCAGAGAGTACCAAGCGGACGGGTGAGCTTTTCTAGAGCTCTGGTCTCAGAGAAGACTGTGATTAGGCATTTCTAGTCTATCTGCGCTTCCTGGTCTGGCTGTCCTGCATTTTCTACACGTTTCTTCTTTCTGGCTGGCTTCCGGATGTTTGGCGGCCTTGGAAGGCTGATCGTTCTTGGAATCCAGTCTGCTTATCTTGTGGGTGCTGTGCCTAGGGGGGATGAGGCGGGACGAGGCGAGAGCGGCGAAGGCGATGTTCGTTAGCAGACTCGCAAAGATTATGACAAGCAGAAAGTAAAGATTCATATTCTGCTCGAAAGTCGCCTGATGAATTTTAAGCTTGTTGACCACTTGAGTAGCTTGGAATGTATATTTTACTTGCGTTGTCACCAGGTCCACCCCAGTGTTCACATGGCCGGTCGATTGGGCAGTGGTTGGGGAGCGGGCGGATGAGGGGTGGGCGAGTGGGCGAGTGGGCCAGCGGGCGAGCTTGAGGAATGGCGGCTGAGCGGGGGGCGCTGTGCGGGAGCGGCAATTGGCAATAGAGCGGCTGGGCATGTCGGCGACTCGACTGGACGCATCAGCGCGTTTTAGCGTTGAGCCAACGGGCGTCGGGCGTGGGTAGGCCTATTTTCAGCGCAGCGCGGGGTTACGATATGCCTGCGCCGCTAGAAACTAGGCCTACCTCCGCCTGCGCTGCGCTAAAATAGGCCCCTCTGCAGCAGCCCATTTTAGCGAACGCGTTGACTCGCAGTTGACTGAAAGCAGACGTAGAACAGCACGCGCCCGCACAAAATTACAGGCCGCCAGGCGCGCGCCCCGCCCGCCATTGCCGCTGGTGCGCCTGCTGGGCTGCTAAGCATGGCTGCCATGACAGAGGGGCATTCGCTGCGGTCTTGGGGCATCTTGGGCTGTCCGAGGTGGCTCTGGAGCTGTGTCTCCACGGCGGCCAACCTGGACACCACCCGAAGCCCAGCCGCCCTTCTACTATGCCGCTGACGGCGGTCGCTGATTTCGTAGCAGCGCCGTCGCAATGCCGCCATGCACAACGGCTGCGGCCGCCAACAACGACAACACACTGAACTAGGCGAGCCCCAGCGCCATCTCGAAGCCCGCCAACCTGCCCAGCAGCGCCACCCTAATATTCCTCACAGATCAATCAATGCCCACCACCAGCTCAAACACCTGTTCAGGGCACGGATAGTCTGTTACCACACATTCATGACATTTTAATCCGACTCTCAGCGCATCGTCCCATCTTGTCGGGCACCCCTGTAATCTAGTCGCTGTTCCAGCGGACGCCATCCTCCAAGCTCCGGGACATTTCATTGCCAGCGCAAGCGCTGAAGGGAAGTTGTCCACCATTTGGCTCCAGCATGCTGATTCGGCGCAGAGTAGTGCGAAGGTTCCACCAACCGCTCAATCGCGTCACACTGGATGACATAGCTGTCAGTTCTCTTGCAAAAAGGCGACATGTGTCACGAGTAGTTTGAAGGCCCCCAACAGACGTCAACCTTCTGGATCTTCACTACAAATAATAGGGAGGAGCAGCAGGAGGAGGCGGCAGCGGTAGCAGGCGGTGTTGCTGCTTGCAGAAAGGCTCACGGAAGTGCCCTGGCAATGTTCGGTGTCCGGAGACAATTTGTCTGGCAGATAGCTTGGGCCCGAGTGAAATGCATTCAGAGGCTGTAGGTCCATACGGATCCATGTGATACTAGAATTATGGCTGGCTTTCGCCTCGCTGAGACTGTTGCCGGTGGACAGCAAAGGCTTCATCCCAGTGGGAAGGGCTGTAGGTATCAGAAAACAGAAGACTATCTGATCATTCTGCTACCCGGCGTGCTACTTGATGTGTCTTCCCATCTTCATCTCATTGGAGTGTTCTATCTCTGTCATAGAGCCGGCAGAGCGAAGGCCATAGCCCTGCCGAACATTTTGCACCTTTTGCTGTCCTCCAGATGACAATCGTCGAACTCACGTTGAAAACAGCCCCTACCACTCACACGAAGTGTTCATAAGGGCTCTGAAGGCGAACGAAAGCTACACAGAGGAACCGAAACTGTACATGGCTATTTTGAACAGGTCCCTGGCCCATGATGCGAACAGCGAATGGTAGGAGGACGAACCTGATGCGCACGTCCTCAAGACCAGATCAAGAGCCGTCTCTCAGCTCATCTGGGTTGTTTTCTTGGTACCATCTGAAGGCATGAATGTAGCCACGGTCCACGGCTTCAATATCGACAATGGCATAGCCGACATTGCATTCAACGCCAAACAATTTATAAGGGCTACCGAGGTGGCCAAATCCGCCGCACGTGTAGTAGGTCCTTGTCTATTTTGGTGGTGGTGCGAGCCAGACACTGGAAAGCATGCTGGCGGCAAGGAGCAGTGAGCCTGACTCACAGAAGCAGAAGGCGCTTGGAGTATTCCTAGTAGAATGCTCCACGTTAGTGGCCAAGAGAGCTGCGTCAATCATGCTGTAGACGGCTTTGCACAACCTAGGAACGGGCCTCCCGGAATACCAGCTTGTTCAAGTCGTCCTGCACAGGCATCTCTGTCATCCTGGAGTGAATTAAGGCCCGGTCAAGCCTGATTGGCATGCGGCCATTGTCTCAAGAGCAGCAATGGCGTTGTTCTCGGGGTATGATGCTGTGGGTGGCGCCCTTTGTTGAGTCGGAGCTGTCGTTTTCGCCAAGTCCAAGATGGACTGTTCACCAGGACAGCGGAGGCGTGGCTGAGAAACGTAGGATAAGACTTGCGAGGGAGAGGGACGATTCGGAATGTGTGATTTGCATGCACGAGCATCAGGCTGAGCGGCGGCGATGGCTGGGCACATCGGCAGCGAAGAAGGCCGTGCCAGGCGCCGGCGTTTGGAGCAGACGGATGGGCAAAGCTGCCCGAGCGCGTGCGGGCACGGTTGCTGATATCGGGAGTCTGAAGCGGTGTCTGGTGGACCTTCAGCTATGTCAAGATGTGCGAAATCGTGTACTATTGTGGTTGCGCTGGCGCGGTGGCGCGAAAACCTGGCCAGCCTGTTGCGCAGGGAGCCCCGCTCGCTGCGGCCGCTCGCCGCGACCGCTCGAGGCTGAGATAGCAATGCGGTCATTGCGCCACCGTGCTCCGTCGAGAAGTGCGGTCGGAGCCGTCGCCAAGCACTGTGCTCACCCGTCTCAGAGATCGCCCCGAGCTTGCTCACCGAAAGCCGCTGGCTGGATCGAGCGGCCTGTAGTTCTGACGAGCTGGCCGCATGGCGAGCATGCCAGTAGCCGCCGAAGGGCGTAGCAGAGCGCGCATACAATCAAGGCGAAATGGCGAATGGCAGACACACCAAAACACACGAGCAGTCGCAACAGTGCATAATCCCAGCCAGTTCCACCACAGCCATCGCAAATCAGAAAAAGTTCTCTTCCTCAAGAGCCGGCTCAAGGCCAGCAAATTGACGAAAAGAAAAAGAAAAGAAGGTCGCGTCAGCTCGAGATAGTGCAATACGAGCGACACTGTGATGAGCGAAGTATGAGCGGTGCTCAGGGACCAGCCACCCGGTTCCAAAAAGATTTTTGCCAGAAAGGCGGCCGTCCGTAGACAGCTCATTCCCGGTCAAAGGAACAAAAAAAGCGCACTGCACTTGGTCCCAGCCGAAACCAGGAGAAGCTGAAGAAGAAAAGAAAAAGAGGAGCGGAGTTGGACGGTGGAGGGGTTTAAATAGTTTGGCATCGGAGGATCGGCGGGGCTCGCAGCCGACGGGCTGGTCGGCCGGGCGACGCACGCGCCCCGTAGGACTGGGTCATGCCCCCCCGGAAAGCCGTCTGTGGAAGGCGCGGGGCGGTGGTGCTTGCCCCATACGTTCGCTGGGGTCCAGGACTGGCAGCAGTTGGCCAGATGAGCTCGCCAGCATGCCCGGAAACGGGCGGGTGATGCGTCATGCCCAGGGCCATCGTGATCTTTTTGACTCCTTGCACGGTCAGGCGCCATACTGGCAACATGTGAATACGGGTGATCATGAACAGCGGTGGCAAAGTGGGAAGGAGCGGGGTGCTTAATCCCTCATGTGTATGTCGATCCAAGCCCATCAGCAGGGCAGCTGTAGGGCCGGACAGAGGCTTAGCTGTGTCAGTCTTAGCATACGGATGGCGGAACAGCAGCGTGGTGGCAGCGCCGCAGTGCGGAATTTTGACGCCTCGCCAAGGGGAAGAGTTCTGGGAACCTTCCTCAGCGCTGCCAACTCAACGCCTATCTCTCTCTGCGGCGAGGTCAAGCACAATACTGCGGTATTGCGCCACACTAACATCAACGCCAGAGGGATGAAGGTGACTGGAGAGTACAGATTTGGGCTCCATTTGACGTCACAGCATGCAAGCGTGGATTGCGGGCAATTTTCCCTGCTGCGTCTGCGTTTCCTGGCGGTGGAAATAAGGTTCTGCGTGGCGTGCGGGGCGATGCCGATCGAATTTCCTGCGAGGGGAAAGCGTCGCGCACTTCGCTGTGGAACGGTGGAACGTCGAACGTCATCATCGCTCAGCGGCACAACACCATCATAGACATCGCTAAACATGCACACGACGTGTATGTGAGCCTGCTGTTATGTTCTCCTATCTACATATCTATAGGAGCACAGCTATTGTAAAGAAAATATGAAACCTCTCCACCATAGCCTTGAAAGCAAGTAATCCTACACACCTGTGAATGCAGTGAACCCGATTCCCTGAGAGCAATGAATCTCAACCTTTGAATACAGTATGACCGTTTTCATGAAAACAATGAATACCAACCTTTCACATCAACACGGAATCCCTGCGCGATCGAGACAAGTGGGAAAGCCTCATCTGGCGCAGCTGGTATTCGTGTGCGTCCTCCCAGCCAGTTGCGTCCACAGACACGCTACCGCCGTCCAGAACCGAACCGTTGAACTTGATCATCCGATGGAGCATATCAAAGCTCTCATCCTTCCGAGCACCACAGGCCGTGGCAGCCGCTTGAAAGTCCTCCGGCAGGACCCTCGTGTCGATGGCATCTGGCAGGCCGAGGTACTTGTTCGTTGCGTCGCGCAGGAGCCTGAGCTTATGGAGATGCTCGTAGAACTGATCTTTCATCTCCAGCGACACCACATTCCCCTCCTCCGCAGCCAGCGAAGCTTCAACTCTATCCCAGTCCTTGTCCTCTGCGGTGAGCGCTTGTGCCAGCCTCGTCTCCGGCCAGCGCAACATCGCCGACCGGCCAGGGTGCTTCCATTCGTGCGTGTCCAGTGCCATGAGTACGTTGCTGGTCATGAGCACGACGTCGATGTGCCATTCCAGCCAGGCACCCAGCAGTCCGAGGATCCAACAGTGACGGGATAGACCCTGCGCCTGGGCAAGCCCGCTGGGGGGCAGATCGACGTAGCTGTAGTAGACGCCACGAAGCAACAGACGGGCAACAAGCGAGACATCAGCAGACGCGAAAGACAAGCCCTCATGCGCGACGCCCTGGAGGTGGTCGCGGATCATGGCGACCGTGCTTTGAAGTGGCCTCTGCAGCGAGGCGGTGTAGAAAGCCCTGGCAAGGTCGATAGCACCATAGGTTTCTTCAGCAATGGCATCCGACACGGCATCGCGCAGGGCGGGACCGAAGTCCGAGCGGCCCAGGCAGTCGAGGTGGGCGGCGCTGGAGGGAATCTTGCTGATGACGTACTCGCGGATGTAGCGAGGCTCGTAGCTGTAGCTCGTGGACTCGGCAGCCAGGATCTCTACGGCTTGCCGGATATCGATGCGGGACAGGTAGGCACTGTGGCGCTGCTCAAGCGTCCGGATGTGCTCGGAGAGCTTTTCAAGGTCTTGCTGCTGCCACAACAGCATCTGGGCGCTGTCTCGAATGGACTTCTCGACGTTAGCAGCGACCGCGATGTCGCGGACGCGTTGGAGGTCTGCGCCGCAGCCAGACTCGGGAATCTTTGTAAGCATCAAGGTCTTCGCGCGCTGGTTGCTGCAGGACTCGAGCATGTCTCTGAACTCGTAGATCGCGTCATAGTGGTAGCTGCGGAATATGGCTCCGTTCCATGCCGCGAACGCGTGCCGCCTGGCCCTCCCGTAGATCTTGAACATGGCTTGCATCAAGTCGTCGGTCTCTGAGAGGAACGGGTCCAGCTTGTTGAGGCTCTGAGCAAGCATCCTGCTGCCATTGCACAGGAAGGCGAGCCTCTTCATGGCATGAGACAGCATAATGACTGAGTAGAGCCGGCACTGAATAGCGAGAGGCCATGTAAGAATCTCATCTTCGTTGACAGTGCGCAGCATCTCGAGGTGGGTCTCATCGCAGTTATGAGCCTGGAGCGCTCCAAGCAGACCGTTCAAAAGGCCAGGCGTGGCCGTGGGCCGCAAGCTTGCGAGCTCGAGGCAAAGGGCTGATCGGCTGCCATCCAGATGCGCCTTTGCGGCCTTATGCATGTTTCTAAGGTTGTCCGATGCGAGCATGGCAGCGGCAGCTGGCTTCCTGATGTCCCAGTCGTCCCAATTGGCGATGAGGTTCAGGTGGTAGAGGGGTGGGTGATCGCGCCTGACCAGGGCACACTTGAAAAAGGCGCCAAGGAGAATGGAGCCGGGATCGGTCGTGAACGGGTCATCCCACGCTGACCGGTTGAAGGGGTAATTGAGAACTTGACGTTGACGCGTTTCTGCCGGAGTGTGAACGTAGCGAGCCCATGAGAGCATGAACTCAGCCAGCTTCTCAAGGACAGGATCGTCTTCGGAAGCGAACTCTTGGCAGAGTCCCTGCAGCCAGTCATTGAGGACCCTGGTGTAGCCAGTGATTGCAAATTCCATGGCTTCAGTGCTTGAATCGAAGTGCTTCTCACTCTTGAGGACATCCTCCGGGGTGACCATGCCCTCTGGTGGGCCCTCGATGGGCTCAGGCTCGGGCAAGGGGTGGTGCCTGTCGTATTGATGGAGGCCGCGGATATCTTCTTCGTTGCGGCGGAACGACGCCGCGTTGTCGTTGATACGATCGAGGGCACGGTTAATGGAGTCATTACCAAGCCCAACTGCTGCGCGCCTAGCCTGGTATATGTTCTTGATATCACGAGGATCCGCAGACAGCAGCCCGAGGATGCGCTGTCCCACTGCCTGCTGGGAAGGGGGAAGAGTTTGAACAAGGACGCTCAGGAGGATCCACTCAGTAAACAGGTTTTCATTGACCTGCTGGAGGGTCAGACGAACAGCTGCCGTGTGCGCCTCACGGGCTTGGACAGGATATTCGAGCAGGCGCAGACGAAGCTCGACTGCGGCGGTTGCGATTGCTTGTTCGAGAGTCATTCCCTCGTTCTGGTGGAGCCAGATTGCCCTGACTTGGGCCTCTCCGGGGAGATGTTGGAAGGTGCGCAGGTGGTTGGCACCCTCCTGCGTGCCCATGACCCGGTCCGGAGTGGGTGGACGCCAGGGGCCCTCAGTGTTGTGATCAGGTATATGCGCCTCCGGAGAGGGTGGAAGCAGAGTGTGGTAGTGAGTCCCTTCGAACTCCCTACCAGCTGCAGCATGGGTGTGGGTGGATGAGTTGGCGGTCGCCTGGTCCCTCGGGCTGTTGGACGCGCCAATGTCTTCGTTTGCATGACTAAGCGCTCTGAGCCTGGAAAACAGGCGTCGGAAGCGTCCAAGGTGCGGCATTGTGAATTTTGAATGCGGCACAGGAAATGTAAGAGTAAGACTAACGCATGTTGGTAGATTAGCGACGGTCGCGATCGCCGTATTTTTAGCTGCGTCACGCGGGGCTTACAGTGCTTTTGCTTGGGGTGGACCGTCCTGGAATGCAGCTATAGGCGGTATATAGCGCAATTGGGGTCTGATGATTGCCGGACGGATGGTTGGGTGCGGGCCGCAAAAGTGGATGTCGGGGAAGAGGATGGAATTAGAAGAAGAGGGTCTACATGTCGCCCGCCGGGCATAAGGGTCTCCGCTGCACTGCCAGGCGAAAGCCCGGCTTCGCGTCGAGCCGATCTCATTTGGTAAATTAACCGACGCAAGTCAAACGCAGCTGCGCCATAGGCGTGTCCGCAAACTCATAAGAAAATATACAAAAGAAGCTAATCACACCCGCTCTCTGCATCTCTGTTGTCAGCTATCTTAGCTATGGAAAAGTAGAATTACCATTGATACAAAAGACAGGCCAAGCAGCCGAACGCATGGCACGATAATGCTTCTGGTGCTGCGGCGCAAGACCATGATGAGTAGAAGGCTCAACAATGCAACTATTCTTATTCAATGTAGGAAATGAAGCACTGGCGGAAAAGAATATATAGAACAAGCTCGCAATGTTCAACAACATGTATGCCTTCGTCGCAAAAGCCCATCTGGAGGTGGCGTAGGCGGAATAGCCGTGTTATGCAGCTACGCGACCGAAGCCGAAGAACAGGCAGTGGCTGACCCCACCCCCCGCCTCCTCTGTAGACCTCAGGGAAGGGCAGTACTGCGCGTCTGAATGTTTTCTGGACGTGACGTAGTCAGCCGCTTCAGCTGTTCGCTGTCAATCTGCAACCGCATCCAGAAGCTTATGGCATGCCGTTGTTGACCACACTCATGCGGCGATTGCTCATCATAGCAGCGGTGCTACTCGTCATTATGGCCGTACGACGTGACGTTGATGTTTATGTTTCTGACAGTGCGGCTGACAAAGTTGTTGCCCGGCCCGACAGTGATCTGCGTCCTCTGGTGTGGACATGCCTGCAGGTCTCAACGTTAGCTGACGTCAAGAGAGATCAGGCGAGCGGATGCGTACTTGTATGCTGGATGACCTTGGAGGAGCATGCTAAGCAGGATCCAATGGTTGGCTTGAGGGGCAAGGAGGACGAGATGGTGGGCGTGGCGGACGCCTGGGAAACCAGCAAAGCTGAGATGGTCAAGGACTGGTCGGATCGAGCGAAATATATACAAGTATAAGCGCAGTTTGAGTTCAAAAGCTAATGCGCATGCGAGATGGAAGGCGATGTTGGCAATTCACCAAGGAGCAGCTCCGGCCCGGAATGGTTGTGCAAATCAAGGAAAACAATAAGGGCTGAAGCGGTCACCCTGCTATTGTGCTAGGCCTTTGCTACACTGGACACCTCCGTTGGCGAGGGTCTGCAGGTTGAACAGCGCGCCGGACGAAACAACACGGAGGATGGTGGGGAGAATTAAGCTCATTGAAACGAGGTATAAAGTAATCAAGGAATGAAAAAGATATGAACGAATTCTCTCGCCCGGTAACCAATTACAATCGTAAGTCCTAATCCTCGCCCACATCGAGGAGCAAAAAGCCGTCAGTATGCCTAGCCACGTCTAGCCCAAGGACAAGCGCTCAAACGCAGCGCACATCTGCCCCATTCGCCACTCAAACACAATCCTTTCATGCTCCTCCTCCCACCCAGGCGTCCACGGCACCGCCATCCCGCCCTCCAACACCGGCCGATCAAACTTAACCAACGCATGCAGCCTCTCCAGCACCTCGCACCTCGGCTCCGGCCTGTCGCCCACCTTCAGATCCGCCGGCAAGACCCTCGCATCCACGACCCCCTCCTCCCCCATCCCCAACACCATATCCGTCGCCTCCCGCAACACCCTCAACCTTCGACAATGCACATACACCTCCCTCCTCGTCTCCTCCCCGCCCACCTCCTCCGCCCCACACGCCGCCGTCAGCCCCTCAATATTCGCCCAATCCACCCCCCGCTCCCCCACCACCCTCGCCAACCGCCTCGCGTACGCCACCCTATCCCTGTCCCTACCCGGCGCCACGCACACCCGCAGCACCCCCGACGCAGCCAGGCTCGACCGCAGCGCGCCGGCCAGCTGCTCCGCGTCGCGCTGCCACGCCAGCCACGCGGCGTGCAGCCCGTGCAGCCAGGCGTGCCGCGACAGCAGCGCGCGCGCGTTGTCGCGCTGCGCCGTGACGGCCGGTATCGCCGCGGCGGCGGTGAGGTGGAAGAGCGCGGTGAGGGCGAGGGAGGTCAGCCGCCTGGCGTCGGCGGTCGCGATGGAGGGGAGGGGGGAGGAGGAGGAGGAGGAGGAGGAGAACAGGGGGGTGTTGTTGATGCGGTGGAGGAGGTGGATCGTTGCGGCGATGGGGGCGCGCCAGGTGGAGTGGGTGAGGCGGCCGGCGAGGTCGATGGTGGTGGTGGCGGAGGAGGGGGCGGTGGCGGTGGCGGCGGTGAAGTACGGGCGGCTGTAGGAGTCGTTGAGGAGGGCGTCGGGCAGCGCTTCGCCGCGGAGGGAGGAAGGGTTGCGGTCGGTGTAGGCAGATAGGAGGGCTTCGGCTTCTTTGAGGGGGAGGGAGGAGAGGTAGCGCGTGTGTTTGAGGCCTGTCGTCTTGATGTGGGAGGATAGCTTGGCGAGATCGGTCTGGCCCTGGGAGAGTGCGGTTGCGCTGTCCAGAATGGATTTCTGCTCGAGGTGGGCTGCCATGGCTATGTTGCGGACTTGCTCGAGGTCGGCGCCGTGGCCGGACGCGGGCATGGCGGCCAGCATCAGCTTTTTGGCGCGGGGATTGCGGCATGATTGCTCTACAAGAGCCCTGAATTGTTCGACAGCGTTGCGGTGATAGGTTTGGAAGAGAGAGCGATGCCGCAGAAGATATCTGTGGTGCATTGCTCTGGAGTACAGCGTGGATAGAGGTTGTGGCACCTGTCTTGGGGTTGGCAGGGGCTCCCCCAGTCGGCTGAGCCCCTTCGCAACGAAATCGGTGGCGATGTAGAGACGCCCGAGCAGCTCCTTGGCACAGTACATCATTATCATGGTAAACATTCTCTTTTTGACGGGGATAGGCCACGGCCAGCCGTCCCTTTCGGAGGCCAGTGCGACATCTTGAAAAGACGACATGTCTTCACTGATCATCGAGTCCAACCATGGGCGCTGCATGGCAGGATTAAGCCCCGATTCCTTGATGTCACATGACAAAACCAATCTGAGTGTGTCCCAGTGGGTGGACGCTGCGTCCCACATGGACTTGAGCGTCTCGGAGGCTTTGGTGGCGACGGCTGCAGGCTTGTCGGTGTTCCAGAGTTCCCAGCTGGAAAGGCGGCTCAGAAGCTCCCGGCTTGGGCGGCCAGGGCTGGCCAGTGAGCATTTGAAAACAGCTCCGAGGAGGATAGAGGGCTGGTCGTCGGTAGTCGGATCGTCCCATCTTGATTGGTCGATTGGAGCTTGCAAGACCTGACGTTCGCGTTCTTCTCCCACGACATTCCCATTCCATCCAACCGCTAGCTCATGCAGCTGCTTGAAGCCGTCCTGTCGGCGTTGATGATAAGCAAACATGAACATGATTGAGTGCATCCACTGGTCCATTTCTGCACAATACTGCGACAGCTTCTTTTGCATAATTTGGCAACACTCCTTAAGATACTCTTCATGCTCGAGAATAACAGTTGGAGCGAGGACACCATCTGGAGGTCCCTCAATCGGATCGGCATCGGGGATGGGCTGGTGTCTGTCATACCGCTGCAAGCCACGAAGGCTTTCCTCGTGCTTGTGGAAGGATGTAGCGAGGCCATAAAGTGTGTCAAGTGTCCGCTTCATGAGATCGTGGCCACGGCCCATTCCAACAACCGCATTCTGCGCCTTAGCAATGCACTGGATATCTCGTGGATCGACCGAAACCAGCCGAAGCATTCGGCGACCCGTAGCTTGTTCCGCCGCAGGCAGGCCTTGCACGAGAACAGTCAGCATGATCCACTGCGTAAACACGTTCTCATTGACGCGCTCGAGCGTGATTCTGATCTCTGCCGCCTGCTCCTCCCGCCGCTGGATCAGGCGCCGCACGATGTTCAGCCCCAGACGCCGCTCGCTGACGACCGAGTCGATGGCGTCGGCGACGGACATGCCTCCTCTCAAGCGCAGGTAGAGCACCCGCATCTGTGCTTCTCGAGGCATCCGCTGGAAGGCCTGAAGCCGGCTGATGTTTGGCTGGGTGCGGGTGGGCGTGCGCGGGTTGGGTGGTCGCCATCTCGTGCCGGAAGCGCGGCTGGGACGTTCTGCGGTGGGGACCGGTGGCGCAGAGGGACGGCGGCGTGGAGCATTTGCTCTGTCTGTGTCGGGGTCCGAGCTGGTGGTGCTGGACGCTGAGAGCCTGCGTGGGCGTGGCATCGTCAGATCAGGCCCAAGGTAAGTTGGCGGGTCGTGGGTTGCGTTGCGGGTGGGGAGCTGTTCTGGAAGAGAATGGAAGAAGTAGAAGAGAATTGACGTAGACTTCGCGATTGTGAATGGTTTTGGAACGACGCGGCAGCATGGCAACTAAGCATCTATCACCTTGACAGGCCATGGCCTGGTGTCAGTGGCAGACAAGCTCGTCGCAGAGTAGTCGAACAATGCCGCGCCATAACACCTAAAGACAGGCCTCCCACATTTAGCATCGTGCTATACATGTTCCGAATATTATTTTCAATGATCACCAGTAGCACCTTTCTTCTAGAACAGCAGAAAAGGCTTTTTAAGTAGATTCCCGGGTCGGGCACGGATGTGTGTGACGATTCAACTCAACCCACTAAGTAGCTTTATATATACCCTCTGCAAAACGAACCATAGAGGCAAATGACGCAGTTGTAGTGTTCAGCAAATTTATTTCATTACGGTCGTAGGTACAGGCAATCATAATCATCTGGCACATGTGGTCCCCAGCAACTCAGCTGAGACATGACAATGCCATGTGCTAAGATACGAGCCATGTGGACATGAGTATGAGCTGGCCTCCTTAGCAAACAGCTTTCGTAGCAAGCAGGACGAAAATCAGTACTTGCTTTCCTAGGTCACGAGAGTTTACTGTAACCAAGTTTTCAGATAACAATCTATTGCAATGCGTCTATCAAGAACAAGATGTAGAACAAACCAGGAGCGAAAAAGTACAGTTAAACATGCATGGCAAAGGCCAGAAAACTCCAAACTCCAAGCAATCAGAGCGAGGCTAAGCAGTCTCCATCTCATCATCCTACAACACCACAATCCTCCCCCCATCAACTACGCTTCCCTCCACCCGCACACGCCTATGCATATCCGCATACCCCACCACACCCGGAATGTTGTCAACATCCCTCTTCGGCGGCGCCAGTCCGAACAAATCATCCGGCAGCACCATCACATCCGTTACCTCCGGCGCGTCCAGCAAGGCCGTCGTCACCGCCCAGAGGCTCTGCGGGGCCGGAAACATCTGCCACTGGCAGAGCACCCCGAACAGCCAGCAGTGCCGCGACAGCCAGCGCAGCTGGTCTGGTGCGGTCGACGGCGCGTCCTCTTGGCTGAGGTACCAGGCGCGCAGCACGAGGCGGGCCAGCGTGTTGAGCTCGTTCGAGGAGAGCGCGTCAGCGGAGGGGGGTGCGTGCGGCGGCGGCGGGGCCTGGAGGAGGCGGAGGAGGTTGGTGGTGGGGTCGTGGAGGGCGGCGGTGGAGAGGGCCTTGATGGCGGCGCCGATGGTGGAGGAGGGGGTGGACGGGTTGGCCAGGATGTGGCGGAGCGGGCCGCCGATGTCCCAGCGGGTGAAGGCGGAGTGGGCGGTGTCTGCGTCCGTCAGCTTGGTCAGCGTGGCGCGGATGGCGTCCCAGTTGGTCTGGTCGAGGAAGCTGGAGAGGCCGGAGATGAGGGCGGCCTGGTTGAATCGCATGAGGCGGGTCAGGTGGGCCTGCTCCGTGTCTCTGATGAAGCTGCCGAGCCCGTCGAGCAGCGTTGCGCCCTCAAGCACCATCTCGATGCTCTCCTTGATCGGGAGCTCGACGTTGCCAGCAAAGGCAAGGTCGCGGAGGCGCTGGATGTCATTCAGCCCGTTCGCGTTGACGAGCTGCTTGTGCATCTCCTCGCGCGGCTTCTCGTAGCAGCTGGCCTGGACGATGTCGACCAGCTCGTCCATCTTGCCGACGACCGGCTGATACACCATCGCGCGAATCGCGATCCACTTCTGCCGGTGCATGCCCATCGCCGCAGCGGGACCGGAAATCTCGTACGGCTCGTTCTGAACGACGTAGTTCGCGTCATCCAGCAACTTTGAAACCGCGCACAAGCTACACAGCATCCCCATGCCCAGCGCCTCGCTCGCCATCTCCGCCATCCCGAAGCTGAATATTCTAGCTCCTATCTCGGCTGGAAGGAACGACCAGTCGCCATCGACGGCCATGCTCGCCGCTGCGCCGCTGTCGGCCTCGAGTTCGGAGAGAAAGTCGGCGACTGCGGGGTTCATGTCGTACTCGTCCTTGAGGTCCTCCTTCAGGTATTTGCCGACCTTGATCTCGTAGCGGGATGACTCTCTGCGGTAGACGTGGGAGATGCCGTCGCGGACGGCCCTGGCAAGGTCGGCGGTGCTGGCCTCGGGCCACTCGTGCCTGGCGATCACGCGCTCGATTTGGTTGTAGCTAACGCGACCGACGGTGCCGATGCAGCAGTGGTAAAATGCCAGGCACATGATCGTGAAGGGCTCGTCCGCGTCGTAGCCCTTGAGCTCCTGCTCTCCGAGCTCGTCAATGATCGCCGAGAAGCACTCGGCAACGTTGTAGTAGCCGCGATTCCACAGCTGCGGATACCTGTTGGAGATCTTCTGAGCCGCCGGGTTGGACGGGTGCAGCTCGAGGATCATCCTAAGCCACTTCCGCATGTGCGTCTTGTACGCGTGGAGCGAGTTAGCGACCTTGGGGATCTCCTGTTCGATCTGGCGCTCGAGCTTGAGACTCTTACTCACCCTGTCTACAATATCATCAGTCGGGGCAAGCCTCGGCGGGTTGGCAGGAGGGCTATCGTACCGACGGAGGGCCTGAAGCTCAGCATAGTGCGCCTTGAAACGGAAGGCAGTCTTGACCATCTCGTGGAGGAGCTTGTCCAGGAAGTCACTGTTCATGAGCTCGCGAGCCAGCTGCTCAGCCGACATCATGAACTGCCGATCATACGGATCAAGGCAAACGAGCCGAAAGATCCTCTCAGCCGCCTTCACCTGGTCCTGCGGAACGGTACGGATGAAATGCTCGAGCACATTCCATTGCCCGAACATCTTCCCCGCCTCCTCCATGTAGAGCAGGCGGATCGTCGCGGTAAGCTCCTTGCATGCAGCGAGCGGGGCCTCGAGGAGGTTATGCTTCGCCTCCGTCATGACAGTGTCGATAGCCTGCTCCGTAGTATAGGACTCGTGCAGGTTCAGGCGGAGAACACGGCGCTTCTGCTTCTCTGGCATCTGCTGGAAATACCGAAGCCGGTCCACGTTCTCCGCCTCCTCGTATTCGCGCTCCGGCCTGGGAGGCACCCAGTTGCGGGCCTCCTCGTGCCGAGCCTCGAGGGCGAGGCGACGCTGAGTGCGGCGCCCGATGCGACGAGCCAGCTCGTCTTCATCGGATGATTCGAAGGGGTCGTTGTTGGTGTGGCGGCGGGAGTTCGGCATGTTCAGAGTTCAGTTGTAGTACGGGTTCGGTTGTTTTCGAGTTGAGCTTGTGGGGAATGAAGAGAATTCGTAAGTCGAAATGGAAGTAGAGGGAGTTGTGGGTGCAAAGCTCGAGTCGAAGTGTTCGCCGATCTTTCGTAAAGGTACGCATCTCCTGGAGCTTAAGTATTTTGGAATCTCTGCCATGTTCATGAACTTTGCTTGAACAAGTCTGGAAGGCAGGACGAAACAATGTAAGAGTTAACACTTCCATGTTGATCAAGCCGTGGAGCTGGCTGTGTATACCAGACTGCACTGCTGTGACGGAGCTATCACTGGGAGAAAGATATATAGAAATATGTGATCGAAGAAGTCACGTATATAACAGAGAGAATTGATGTCTGCGAAAGGTCCACTCCAAAGCTATGTTACGTACTTATAGGCAGTGGGATACGCAAACACCTACACGCGTCATTGTTGGTTGTGAAACTGCAACATCCTTCCAGGCCATTCTGGACATGTTCTTCCAGACCAAGTACTTCAACTACAAACATGACACTGCTGATTACTCCAACCATAAGTTTCGAATTTTATCGAAATATGCGTCTTAATGGCTCTTGTACTCATCACGTGTGATACAGGCTTAGCAAGACATTGCTTTGTTCTAATATGTTCTATTACTCGCTAAGGAATTTCTTTATACTCGCAATTAGAGACAACAATGTCGCTATGCCGTTCAACTACACAAAGAATATTCTTCCTTTGATCCTCCAGCAATCAGAGATGACCGCCTTTCCTCCCGCCAACGGTAACGCCTTTAGCTCAAGGGCACTGATCGCGCTTCTAGTACTCCGATTCTATCTTGACCATACGATAGAAAACCAGTTCATAGACCATGCTTAATACACGGGCAGAAATACACTCATCAAATGAGTGAACAGATAAAAGGCAATGAGTGACACATACCTCCTCTGTAAAAAGATGGCAACGGCAGCAATGAATTGGCAAATTCACGTCGGAATATAGGCAGCCTGCCCTACTAGATCACATCTCCCACAAAATACTCACGATTTCCTGTGAACAATGACAATTCGTAGAATTAATGACAATTCGTATCTAACCATTTTTCTTCTGCCTCGAGGCTCCAATGCTTCACGCCCAGCGCTCCACATTCCCCGTCACAATCTCTAGTGTACCGCCCTGCAGCACACCACGATTCCTAGGCATCAAGACAAACCTCCGCAACTCCGCATACCGAGCCGCGACACTGTAATCGTCCTCATTCCTTGCGTATTTGTCGAAGGTTGGCTCGTGCAAGGCGTCATCGACGGACGGCGGGGTACCAACGAACACGTCAGTGGCGTCCATCAGGTTGTTGACGACTCTCCACTGGCGCTTGAGCCTCGCCTTCGCCTCGTGCAGCTCTCCCTGAATAATGTCGAATGCCTCCTGGCTGGCCGCTTCGCCGACCAGTCGGCTCTGCTCCCTGACCTTCGCGCCAGCCGCCATGCTGAACTTCTTCAGCTCCTGCACGTTTGACATCCAGGCCTGGATCAGGCCGCACAGCCAGGACAGCCCGGTGATGAGACATCCCATGTCGTGCCTGTCCTTCTGGCTGGCGCGGAAGTAGTGGGCGCCGTAGCAGAAGAGGCGGACGAGGTGGACGTCCTCGTACTCATGGAGGCTTGCCGAGATGCGGAAGTCGTTATCCTGGCTGAAGTGTTGCCGGATGGTGGCAGCCTTGGACCAGAGGAAGAAGACGCCGAGGTGGTGGAGCATCTGCCTGCGAGTGGATTCGTGGCTGAAGTTGCTGTCGGGTCGGTAACGTCCCAGGAGCTCGACGACAGACTCGAAGTCGTGGCGTTCGGCTGCGGTGCGGACGGCGCGGCGTTGCATGAAGGACAGACCCTCCACGTAGGCCTCGAAGTCACCCATCTGAGCCTCAATGCCTTGCATGCTCCTGGTGAAGATTTCGTGCAGATCGTTGCTGCCATCCCTTCCAAGATCCCGAGCCATGTGCACCTCGCAGATGCTGTCGAAGAGCTCCCTCTGATCGTGCATGAAGGCGTGCTCCTTGATTGCGTTGTTCAAGGCGTCAAAGACCGGCCCGCAAATGTTGTTGGCGTCGAATGCCCTTCGCATCCTCCGCGCGCGCTTTAAGAAGCCGTCTGAAACGGTGATTGCCAGCGAGCGAATGATGCCGTTCCTAAGGCGCTCATTCGCGAGCTGGGCGACCTCCAGCCAGAGTTCCCTCCTCGTTCGCCTCGCGTTGGCCTGATCAATCCACGCCGACCGACCCCTCGCCCCTCTAACCGCCGCCCTCCAAATCATCATCGCCGCGGGGTCGACCGGGTCGATCCAATCCCCAGGCAAGACGATGCTTCCCTCGCTGCCCACCCCCCTCGCTGCGCCCGGCAACATCTTGACCGCGTCACGCAGCTCCCCCAAAAGCCTAAGCGCCTCCCGCACGCCAGCCGTCATGTCGTTAACCTGCGTCTCCGCCAGGAACCTCACCGCCCTGCATTCCAGCGCATCCAGCTGCTCCACCAACTCAACAGCAAGCCAAACGACGCGCACGTCGTCCAGCCGCTGCACCACCCCGCCCCTCACGCACTCGTACACGCGCTCCAGATTCCCTCCGATCGTCCCACCGCACCACTCGCGCCTGTCATCCATATCAAACACCGCCAAATGCTCCAGAACCCACCCGACCAAATTCCCGCGACTCCGCACATCGGAATCCTCGTCGTCGCGGAAGCGCGCGATCTCAGGCAAGATGGTAGCGCAGACGTGCGCGGGGCAGGTGTTGTCGCGGCCGAGGGTCCCGGAGATGGCGAGGCGGCGGCCGGCGGCGTCGTGGAAGCGGGGGGTGGTGGTGGTGTTGTTGGGGAGGGGCCGGCGCAGCGCCATGGTTATGGTGGCGTGGTGGTAGGCGTCGGCGGCCTGCGGCTGGAAAGAGCTGATGACGGTGTAGGCGTCGTCGTACCAGGACAGGAGGTAGGCGCGGTAGGCGTCGCGGCGGGCGAGGACGGATGCTAGGACGGCGTTGAGGTGGGCTAGCTGCGCGGAGTGGGTGGAGTGGGTGGAGTGAGTGGGGGTGGTGGGGGTGGATGCTGGCATGTTGCTGGATCGGTCCTGCGGCTGGGAGTTTTCGGGGGAATCTGCGTTGCGGTTGTTGTCGTTGTTGTTTTGCATTTTGCTTTGGGTATAGATGTGTGGTGTAAGTATGTAGACTTGCTTCCTGCAAGTGTGTAGTATGCGTAAAGTCGAGGGAAAGGGCTGCGGACGAGAATTAAAGTCCAGGAGAGTGATTGTATATAAGCGCAAGAGGTGCCTGTGACTGCGGGCTGTTAAGGTGAACAATCCTCGAGTTGGAAGGAGTTGTTTCTGGACTTGAGAGAGCGCATGTATACTGTGAAGGGCGATGGTAGAGACTGTGCGGGTGAACAACGCCAACCGTTGCACCTTGGTATAGGTCATAACAGAGAAACAAGCAATACACTCTCTCAGTATCTCTCATACAAGACTTTGAAAGTCTGGAATCCAGTCAAGAAGGAAGAAACAATATACAACTCGTAGAGGGGTTTGAAAAGACTGGTAGAAAGTAGTCTATACTGTGTAGCCGATACCCTGATTACATGTCCCCAATGCCGCCGTTTTCCTCGAAGCACGCGTACTCCTTCACATCGACGAAGGCCCTCATCCTGTAGTACAACTCTTGAACGTCACTCGCCCGGTCTAGCCCATCATCCATCCCGAGGAAGACTAGGTCCGTTGAGTGAGGCAGTACAAGTAGTACTTCGGCCGCCCAGTAGGCGTTTCTCATGTCATGGATGGAGGTTTTCAAACGGTCACAAAACTCTGGCGATATATCCATCTCTTCGTGACTGTCCTTTATCCTGTCAAGAATGACGATCAGGTTGTCGAAGTACTCTATCGGAACATCGCGTTCCATGGCCAGCATGAGATCTTGGAAGGCAGACAATCTCATCGCGAATCCTTCCTGACCTGGCTGGAAGGGATTTTCGTCTCTCAGGAAGTGTATTGCGGCGTTAACCTTGTGAAAAGCCTTGGTCCACTTCCAAATAATGCCCGTTGTCCAGCCAAACAGGGTACGGTCCTTGAGATGGTTCGTGGGATCAAACGTCCGGGCGTGGTATAGAAAGCGCATGATGATGTACTGCATGGCCCAGGCTTGGCGGCGAAATTGGTATGGCATGGTGGCCAAGGCATTGCGCTGTACCCTGAAATGCTCGATGAGCATAGGCATGTGCGCGTAGGCAACTTTGAGTGCATGATAGCGGCGGAGATGATAGTCGAATTGGTCCTCTGGGATGGGAAAAGCATTCGTGATGCTAGCAAGGAAGAGTTGGTAGTTGCACTTGATGATTGAGGCGTCGATATCTCCGCGTAGGGTATGCGGAAGCCCGCAGATGGCGGCGTCCAGAGCAATGTCTTGCTCGGTCCAGGAAGTCCTTTCTTCAACACAAGCCTCCAGGATATCCGCGACGATGCTTCGCGAATAAGTACTCTCCCAATGGCGTTGCATGGCATCAACCTTGCCACGGAGTAAATGAACAGACTTCCAGCGCTGATCCCAACCTCCCTTCATTATGAAGTTTTCAATGTCCTGAGGAAGCCCCTCGTGCCCTCCATCGTGAAAGTGCACCTCAATCATGTACCAGTTGAACGCATTCCAGGGCAGCGCAAGCCTTCGAATGACCTCGTTTGCATGCATGTACTGCGTTGTGGTGTCCTCAAAACGGCTAATAAGCGCCGAAGCTTGCCGCTCGTACTCCAGTGCGGCGGCGCTCCATCGCTTGTACGACGGCAGCAGGAGCTCACCAACCACAATTGCGTTATATCCGTGGTGATCGGGGTCCGGAACAGGATTCTGCGCCATTGCGCCGGCGTAACGTGGTGTATTACAGGTGAGTGAAGGACAGCGACGTTGTTGGTGAAAGGTGTCGGAGGCAGAGGGCGCGTCAGCGCGTGAGCAGCACAATATCGTCATCACGCGACTGTTGCGCTCAGACATCCCAACATGGCACAGCCCTAGGCGCACAGGCCAGCTAAGAGCCAGACAAGCAGGCATCCTCCATGGCCTCTGAGCAGATTGCTGAGACACATCTTCACCTCAAGCGGAAGAAATCAGATCGCATAGAGCGGAAACCGGCCGCAACATTGTCGCTGAGTAGCTACTCTGTCATGGTCTTACACTGTCGTGTATATATAGCTGTAAATTAACGGAAAAGATTGTTTGATCCTGTTATTTCCAAGCTGTCACGCTAGAGGTTGCTTGCCAACCAATTCGTTTGTTCAAACATTTAGAAAGCAGCCAGATGAGACAGCTTCCGAGCAACTACATTTGTAGCAACGCATGATGATAGTTTTTTCTGCAGTAATACTAATCCCCCGTGGTCACTGTTCATAGTGATTGACGAGTTGAGCTCACATCCTCATAACTTAAACACGGTTAAAGTCTGTTTTAATACTGGTACTTGAAAATATAAATAAACGCTCTTTAGTTCCAGTCGGCCTTGAGACTCTATCGTTGATAAGATCTCACAAAGGTGATGCGGCATCCGGCGCAGAGTGTGTACAATACTATACAACTTCAGGTTTGATAATTCCAGACACTCGTTTCACAAATATTGTGTCTTCTCGACCAGCTTTCTACAATGTTCGAGCAGCCTATCGATTGCCTTCTGATGAAATTGTCGGAGATCCTACATATTCACAGTATTGCCAATGGTATAATCTCACTATTCGGGAAATCTAACAAGCTCCAGTAAAATGTAAACAGTGTATGGCGATCGACGTGACTATCCGGGTCGGAATGTTTAATTTAATTGCAAACATCGGCGTCCGGACGTTAGCTTCAACTACCCATGACAGTACAATTACTTTCATTCTACAACTGTAAGAAATGGGGAACGAGAGGGGAGCGTCCTTATTGTCCATTGGCTGGTGTATTTGAATTACTCTTTAACTCATTTCCAACACTCACTATGATCATCACGATAGACATGATTGTTGCCTCATACTTCATGGTCGCGCTTTTCCGGAAGTGCATTCTGATGTCCGCAGCTAGAGAATCCAGCAAAATGTCCAAGTACCCGCTCAAGCAGACTATCAATTGTATAGAGAAGATCAATGGTGGAGGTCTCGCCTTCAACATCACCGACAAGCCATCTATAATCCCACCACACCATCCTTTTATAATCACTGCGGGCCGGCGACGATCTTCAAGTAAAAGATGTAGTCTACTTAGTAATGCTCTTGCTTCGTTCCAATGACACTGGAGGCGGAGTCCTATCCTGTTTAAGCGATCCCATTTGGCGTGCATGGTGTTTTCAGCCGTGTCATTCCCACAGCATCGACTGAGTGCACAGAACAATAGGAGTCCTTCCGCCCAAAGTAGGTTAGCGCTGAACCGGGCAGCTTAAGATCTAAACACCACGCACCCATCGCTCACCACGCCACCATCTTCGTCAAAACTCCGCCACGAAGATGCCCTCGCCCGCCGCCTCCCGCTCCTCCGCCTCCTCCCCCCGCGCCCCCATGCGCCGTTGGTTCGCCACGGCCATGGAGAGGCTGCGTCTCCGCCGCCGCCGCCGCAGCCAGAGCCCGCCCGCGTCGCCGTAAGCTGTCCCTCCTCTCTCATCCCACTCCAGATCTTCTCTGACATCGCAAAACAGCGCTCCGCCCACCGCCGCCGCCACCACCACCGCTCCTCCCCGCCCGCCGCGCTTCGTGGGGCTTAGCCCCTTCGAGACTTCGCCGCCGGCGCCGCAGCAGCAGCAGGAACAGCAGCAGAACCAGCAGCAGCAGCAAGGCCCGCCACCGCCTGCTCCGACCCGCCGTGCTCCGCCGCCGCCGCCCGACCCCGTCCTCCGTCCGCGCGCGCGCACCATCCCGCTGAGCGAGATCGCGGCGGGCAGGGCGCTGGTCTCGTGGCTGCCGCCTGCGCAGAGGCACTGCGTCCTCTGCAAGAAGCCGTACGACGGCGCCGTAAGTTCTCTCCACCACTCCTTTCCCCCTAAGATCTTCTGAAATTCCTGGAAGATCTACATATTCTACTACTACGAGGATGCTACACTGATGTGCTTTTTTCTACAGAACACCGACCTCGAGAGGCGCACGCCGTGGGAGGAGAGGGAGCAGGCCGTCCGCGTGCCCGGCTGCAGCAAGACGGGACGCGAGTCCCACATCGTCGGCCGCCGCTGCCTGGAGCGCTGGGAGGCCGTGGGTGGCTCCCCGGCCTGCCCGTTGTGTGCCCTGGATGACTAAAGGTGGGCACGCTGGACGGTCCTGGCTGCCCTGCTCCTCCCCAGTCGTCGCCGTCACTGCCGGCGTACAAGGCTCCGGTTTCTTCTATCTCGATCCGCACAACACTCGACCCTTCCTCCCGCTCCATTCCGATCTTGCAGATTACACGGTCCTTTTGTTTTTTTTCAATCAATCAACCACTTTTCGGGCCTTACGGCCATCAAGGACGCGACCCATCTCGTTACCACCCAGGCTGGTGTCGACAAATCCTCGAGCAAGGCCAAGGAGGCTCAGAATCGCGACATTTTTCTCGTGAACCTGGGCTGGATGTTGGACTCCGAGCACTCCAACGCGAAGGCCGACGAGACGCAGTACACCTTCGGCAACGCAGCTTCCAACGCCACGACCGCCTCAGGGTGCTCTGCTGCTGCTGCCGCAGCCAGATATGCTTTTTTTTGCTTTGCGTTTGGGGCTTGTCCCCGTTAGTTTTAGATTGCCATGATCACGGCTCTGCACAATGAATCCTTTCTCCGCCCATGGTTTGCTTGCTCTTGAATGATTGCTCGTGATACGGCGAGAGAAGCTCTTGATATAAATATAAGAGGTCTTATCGAGCCTCTAAATCCGGCATGTATACTATGATTAAAGGCCGGTGGCTGTAGGCCCGCCCTACAGTGTCATAGTGGCAGTCATGGCCTGCCTGTCCCCTTCTAGTCAACAAGCCTATATAACACTTCATCGCATAACACCAGCACCGCCATCTCGCCCGGAACCTAATTCATCCGGCGCCAGCGCGGACACTCACAGCCCGCTCGCGCACCCATAAATCCTCCACCTCCGCCTCTTCCCTCTTCCTCCCTCCCTCCTCATCATCATCTCGACCACCCCCAAGCCAACACACGCACCACCAGAAAAACAACAACCACGATGTCCTCCCAAATCCCCACTCTCGACGAAGCCTTCTTCAACGCCTCGTTCGGCATCACGCGCGCCTGGATCGAGCGCGTGGCCCACATGACCTCCTGCAAACCGCCAGCGCACCCAGGCCGCCTCCACCCCTTCCTGGGGCAGGTCATCGCCGTCCTCCGCGACACCGACGTCGCGCCGGGCTTCGACCCGCCCAAGTCGTACTGCCCGCCGCCCATCCGCTTCCCGGAGCACGTGCGCTTCATGACGCCCGAGCAGGTGTTGGCCCGCTGGGGCTGGGAGGAGAGGGAGGCGAGGGAGTCTCCGGAGTATTACGGGCGTTTGGTTGAGTAAGTACTTCCGTACTGGTGGAGCAAAAGGGGGGAGGGGACAACGCTGACTGCCAGTCGTACAGGATGCTCCGCGACATGCAGGCCGACGAGGCCACTGCCGACCTCGCCTGGGAGCGCCTCGCCCTTCATGGCTGGGCTACCGATGCCTACTTCTGGTTCAATCCCGATGACGAGGAGGGAGCCATGATCGGTACCCCTGCCGACGTCAACCTCTACGACGACGAAGAGGGCCTCAGCATCGGTGACCCCGCTGACGTCGACCTCCACAACGAAGAAGCCTCCGCCATCGGCGATCCTGCCGACGTCGACTGGGAGGACGTACCGAGCGACGACGACGACGGCGACGTCACTATCGCAGACGACGCCGCGAGCGCCAGCCCCACCCTGCCTAACGGCATCACCGAAGACGACCTCGAAGGCTTTGACCCCGTCATCCGCGCCAACATCCTCCGCCTCGCCGCCGAGGACGCCGAGGAGGACACCTCCGGCATCGAAGACATCGACGAGGTCTCCGACTGGGCCGTCCCTCCAGACTCCGACAACGAACCGACTGAAGACGAGATCCAGGCCTGGGCCACCGCCGCTGCCACCGCTCCCTCCGAGTGGGAGAACTACGAGGAGGAGGAGGGCTGGGAGACCGACGACGGCAACGACGATGTCGATGGCGATGAAGAAGACGACGAGATTGTCTGGCCCGGCTGGGCCGCGCCGGGCGTTGGCTTCCCGAATCCGAATGACCACGCCTTCCCCATGTACCTCGTGCCGCACGTCATGCACGAGAACGCTTGGCATGAGGGCTCGACGCACTACTTCTATGTGCGGGGACGCCTTGTTTGCTGTGGTTTGTCGGGACCGCCGCGCGGGTTCGAGGGTTGCTCTCAGGGCAGGCGTGAGGCTGGTAACATGGACGATAACGAGGAATAGGCAGATGCACCGTGGAGGGCGTGTTGCTTTTTCTACGGGCGGATAACAGGATGGTGATTCTTTCAGCAGAGCCTTGGTGTTGATTTTACAAAAAGGAGTTTGGATTGGTTTAACTGATGGCCTTGCAGCTACGCAGACTGTCTTAGACGTCTTGTCCTCGCCGGAATAGAGGGTTAGCTCCAAAAGCGCGATGGCGTAGCGTAGCTAGAAATTATCGTGGAGACTTGGGGCCCAGAGGCGCTTTGGGTAGACTTCTAGGTTCCCGTTTGCTTAATCAAAAAGAATTCCATGTTCCTGTCTACGGTCAAGGAAGAATCACCTATGCAGTGTCGCCTTTATTGCTGTCATTCTTTTGCCCCAATTCCCTCGCTGCTGCTACTCTTGTTGACACTCTTCGCAGGAGTTCGCATGGCATCCTTTTAGCCGTCCTCGCAGTCGTCCTCGCGCTCAATCTCGCTGTCAGTCGACTCTCGCAGTCGGTCCTTGCAGTTGGCCCACCCACTTAGTCTTTGCAGCCATTCTCACAGCCGTATACCTTGCAGCGAACAGTAGTATGGTTGCATGTACCATTACTTTCCAAAGACTACCTAGCTCCCGCTTATGATGCTTCGCTGTAGTTCTATGCGTAGATACCCTGTCCAACAATCCACGAGATGATTATATCAAGATTACCAAAACAAGCCGTATTAAGCTACGTCGTTTGGATGACTTACCGTACACGTTCTATACTAACAAGATGTCCGTACTAGGCGGTTTGCTTTGCCTTACTTTGGTACAACAGAGCCCTGCTTTGAAGTAGTAGAGGCGTCTGAAAGCTGGAACACATTTACAGGATCCAACACTCAGTGATTATCCACCTCCCCCATAACAGACCTCAAGTCGAAAGAACACTCGGCTGGTAACACAAACACCGCACCGCTGTCTCTACCCGAAACGTCAACACCCGGCCTGCAAGCAAACAATCACAGCCCGCTAGAGTTCATTCACAGTCCCCCAGCGTACGTATCTAACCCTCCGCTTCTTCCTCCTCCTCCTACACCCCAACCCTCAACCATCTACTGTAAAGCACACTCGACCACTGCAGAGCCTCATTCAGAATGCCAGACCCCCTCGACCTCCCCGACAACCTCATCGTCGGCGACGGCCACAACTACGAAACCGCCTACCTCGCCATCCGCGACCACATGCACCACCTCAATGAATGGGCCACCTCCTTCCCCCCACAACACCCCGCCCGCCTCCACCCGTTCATCCTCCACGTCCTCAACAGCCTCGAGGCCGAGACCGACTCCCGCCCAGGCTTCGACGTCGACACCCTCTTCGCCGCGCGGCCCCTGCCCCTGCGCATCCCGCTCCACGTCATCTGCATGCGCCCCCAGGCCGTGCTGGCCCGCTACGGCTGGGTCGAGCACGAGAATATGGGCCGGCCGGACTTGTATGCTGGGTTGGTTGAGTAAGTGTCTTCTCCTCCTCCTCCTCCTCCTCCTCCTTCTCCCCCTCCCCTCCCCCCTCCACAAGCCCACAGCTAACAACCACCCGCAGCACCCTCCGCGCCACCCACGCCCCCACCCCCGTAACCGCCGCCCGCGCCTGGCACCGCGCCGCCAGCGACGGTCTCGCATCCACGACATACGCCGACCCCGCGTATCTCCCCGCCGACCGCCACTGGCCGGACGACGTATACGGCGACGGTAACGTCAACAACGGCGACGGAGGCGAGGGCCGAAGCAACAGCGGCAACAGCGACTTCATGCGCGTCATGCGCAGCGGCGGCGCCGATCCGATTGACAGACCGATCCCTGGATCGCCGGTGCCGCCGGGGCTGGATGGTCGTCTCGGTTGGGGAGGGCCGTGGGATGGTGGGATGACGAGGGCGGTGGGGGTGAGGAGGAGTCAGACGGGTGTTAGGCGCCTCGGGGGAAGGGGGTGGAGGCCGTTGGTTAGGAGGAGGAGGGGGGGGATTCGGGTTCAGGGGGGGAGTGGTGGTGGGGTGGAGGGTGGAGAGGATGATGGGGCGAAGGAGGATGGTGATGGTGCGGAGGGTGGAGGACCTGATGGTGATGCTTGAAAAAAACGCTTGATTCTGGTTTTACGAGAAAGTGGATCTGGATGGGCTTGGGTGTGGGACTTTGGGATGTGGACTGACATGGCTTCGGGTTATTTCTGCCGTCCGAGCCTGGATTTAGATGCTGGTTTGTTCTTACGAGTGTGTGAGGTTTTTTCCACAGCGGCAGGTGGCTTTTCCTCAATTTAGAAATCTTGGGAGATGCATTGTAGCCAAAGGACATTGTGTTGCATGCCTCTGTTGTTCATCGCGAATGCCATCATCGTGCTTGAAAGATGCACGTTCTATTGTAACCGCGGCTAGCAGCTCGCGTTCAGCGGGAGCATTGGCTTTCCGTTGTCTGCTGCCAGTGTCCGAAGGACCAGCAAGTGGCAGCAGCGTCCATTAGCTTAGGTACGCGCTCAATCCCGCATCAAGCACCAGCGCTGCGGCCTCCGCACACGGTCCGCCGGGCTTCCTCAGCAGATCCATCCTGACCTGCATCTCCATCGAGTTGTCAGACCATTTGCCGAACAGGTTGCGCACTCCAGCGCGAAGGATCAGCTGCAAGCCATGCCTCCCGCATGTCAGCTCTCGCATCGACCCCGCGTCCACGACTCCTAGGAACATTGTAAGCGGCGGGATCCACAGTCCCTACGTCTCTGAGTGCATTCGGGCGCTGATTCGAGTGCCTCTGCCGGTGTCTGTTTTGTTAAGAAACAACAGTTGCGCGCGTCGGCAGACAGCGAGTCTGCTCTCGCACGCTATGCCGGCCGTGTGACAGCCTCGTCGTCAAAGCTGCGGGTCCACCGTCCTGAACACAAGTCGCGCGCAATACTAGCTGCTGAAAATCCATATCTGTACACATGTGATGAACGCCTGACAGGCAAAGAGGGTGCTGGGAAAGCGAAGCCGCTTCGGCTGAACGTCAGCGTTGGTACTTCTTTGTCCTTGCAGTAGGAAACAGCGCAGCGGAGGAATGGGGCGGCCTGTAATCGCGATGAAACATTGCAAACTCTTGAACCGCATCAATATTTGTAAAATAAGAGAAGTACCGCCTACTATGACCATGGGGACATCATGGCGAGGCCCGCAGCTATCGTTCTACAGGTGAAGCTGCTGCTTTGAACAGCCGCGATCTTGGTGCCGCGATGCTGGACGGGCTGCACTCAGCCGCCGAGAGCAGATAGCAGGGCTTCTCAGGCCTGACCTACGCCTTTTGCGTGGAATCTTGGCATATTTGGCGGGTTTAGCGCATCTGGACAGTGTCATCTAAGCTGCGGCGAGGAGCCGTGGCGCGCGACGACCCGTTGCGCTCTATTTCTTTTGCTATTTGCAGGTACGCGATGCTTTCGCTGGCCGTTTCGGGTCCTTGGCTATGCAGAATCTATGACAGCGCATTTCCTGCAACCAGAGTCCGCTTCTTGCGGGAGTCGGCGGCGGATGACACTGAAAGATCTGGCCTCACTTGTGCGTGCAGGCGGGCAGTCGTGCCGACAGCCATTCAAGCGGTGTGATTCGGACTCCAAGCATTGAGGCGGCCTTCTGCCTTTCGTCGCCCAGCTCGCGCGCTCCAGCGGTTAGCGCTGTGCCTGGCGGGAAGATCTGGGTTGCGCTTTGCTGGCACAGACATGCGGCCAAACCTGCGCGCTCTTTGCCGACTCCGACGAAGGACATTTCGCACTTTTGAGCTTTGATCCGGGTATAGTGACAGCCTCACGCTCACTGTCTGTGGCATTTCGTGAAGTGATGCCGCATGTTACGCTGCGGCCCCGGCTCACCGCCATTCACGTCGACAAACGTGAAAAACAATGAGAGAATGCTCGCGCGCACTGGTCTTGAGCCATTCCTCCAGAGCCTATCTGGCGTGGGATAGCCACCAGCCGCTTATGAAGACCGCTCGTCTCCACGCAAGCGTGATGGATTGGCGCCGTCGCATTGTCATCCGCCCACCCACTCGCAGGTAGCTCTATGAAAGGATCGTCAGGGCCGCTTTTGCGTCGTCGAGCGCTGTTCTAGAGGTCTTAACTCACTGCAAGCGCCGGAATGCTCGCCGGCGCATTGCGTCGACGCGTCGCGATGGGCGCATTGCCACCACCGCTGCCAGCGCTGGCTCACCGCGGACGCCAGGACACAGCGCTACAATGAAACAGACTGGAGGCACGACACGAGCATGAACACGGCGCAAGCAGGCAAAACATACAGCGGTCAATTTAAGGCTACTTCGCTCAGCGCTTCTCACCCATCTCTGATTTCAGTTTTTTTTTCTCTCTTCCTCAAAGACCGGCTCAAGGCCAGTCGAATGACGAAAAGATAAAAAGAATTGGTCGCGTCACCCCGAAGTAGTGCAATACGAGGGACACTGTGCACCTGTGACATGAGCGATGCTCAGCGGCCCCAGGGCGGGTTCCAAAAACTAGTTTAATCAAAAGACCAAATCCCCGTAGGGACGTTCTAGAGATTAAACTAAAAAGAACAGCTACTGCGCTTGATCGAAGCCAAAAGGCAAAGAGAGCGGTGAAGAAGAAAAAGAGGAGCTGGGGCGAGGAGTAGAGGGGTATTTATAGGCGCGCCAAGACCGCTCCATCTGGCCGTCATGTGCGCGCGTTGACCGGGGGTCGACGAAGATGGAAGCGACGCCTGTGGGTGCTGGGCGAATGCGCCAGGCTGGCTGCTTCTTTTGGCGCGGGGTCCGGGCGGTCGTTCGTATGGCTGCCTGGATTCTGGTCACGGGTGAGGCATTTGGCTGCTCGTGATGGAGGTTGGGCGAGCACGAGGCTCAGGCCGCTGCGGGCTTTGGCAGGCGCGCCAGTTCGAGGTCCTTCTGCTGAGGTTGCTCGAAGATCTGGAAGTGCGGGTGAGCAGCGGGCGCGCTCTCGTGTTGGTCTGGACGCCGCGGCATGCGAGAAGCGGTCGCGTCCTCACGTCTCCACAGGCCCTCGCTGTTCGTTTCTTGGATGATGTTCAACATACTCGGGATCAGGAGCTGAAGAAATCCCATCCGAGGACGTTCTGAAGTGGTCGCTGGCCCGAAGGCTCCTCATTCTTGACGGGTGAGCATCTGGATCCCATGCCACAGTTCTCAGGCACAGCATCACTGCGGCTGGATGCCCCCCAGAACGTCTGGCTGGAGTGACAGACATTTTATGGGCAGAACGCAGGGGGTAGATTCTCTGTTTGATCAGAGGGTGCCGCATTCTGACCCACAGCCACTGGGTCGCCGCAACGCTAACCTTCACTATTTTGTTTTGACTAGAAAGTCTTTCGAGGGAGAGTAGGTGCCCTCGCTCCGGAGCTTGATGTCCTTCTGCAGGTATCTGACTAGGCTTTGAGTGCAAGTGGAATATGAAATTATGCCCGAATTTTCTAACGCCTGCTATTTCATGTCATGGGTAGTTGAAGCTATCGTCCGGACGTATATGTAGAATTCTTAATGCGACATTTACATCCGGATGATAGCTTCAACTACCCGGTTATGATTTACGCTGGAATTCCTCCATGTCGACCATCTACGGGTACATGAGGGAGATCAGGTTCAAGCTGCGGTAGCATGACAAGTGTGGCTTTTCTAAAAGGAAGGAGAGGAGCAAGCCCCTGCTGGATAGAGGGCCCTGGCTGTGTACCACTACTCTACACAATAGTCAATGCGCTACCTTCGAGGAGATTCAGCACAGCATACCACCGGCAGATCAGCCCCCGGTATCTGGGCTGGCATCATTCTACGAAGCGAGGCTGAGTGGAAACCACATTTTCAATAACACCACAGCCGAGCTGGGCGAGGACGATGACGCCGTCTTGCACCATGTCTGCACGAGCCACGCTGCCTAAATCTAGGGTATAGTTGTCCTTCTCGAAGTCGTCGACCCACGAAATCTCGCAGTCCGAGCCGATCCCAGCAATCTCGACAGACTTGTCTGTGTCATTGTGCACCCAGACTGCCTGTTTCGTGATCCACCAAATGAGTATAAAACAGAGAAATGTCTATCCACTTTAACATCTTAGATCAATAAAGCAGCCTTTGAGAACAATGCATTGTTTCCCCACAGCGGTACCGAGTTAGCCACGGAACCAGAAACGTAGAGCAGGGTCTTCATAACCCAACAACAGTCAAAACTCGGACTCGACAAGGCAACAGAAAAAACGTTTCGTTCGTGAACATCGCACAACTCACCCCCTTCTTAAATCCCCCCGAACCCAGCTCTCCCCACCCCAGAACCTCACCTCCCCCCAACCCACCCACCAAAATGCCTAAACAACACCTCCGCCGCGTCCCAGGACGCTCCAACCTCCGCTCCACACCCACAACCACTCCCACCACAACCACTCCAACCGCGCACAGCACCCCCTCCCTCCGCCGCATCCCCAAAGACCCCAACCTCCGCTCCTCCTACACCAACACAGACATACTCGTCCCCGCGCCCCTCCGCATCCACAAAGCCACACCCACCTCTACCTCCGCCGCAGCGACCGCGAGAGTTTCGCGGGAAGAAGAAGCGAAGACGAAGGAGATCGAGGACGAGATGATCAAGGGCAAGACGCAGGCGGCGATACTGGAGGCGGGCGAGGAGACGGGGGTGGAGTGGTGGGTGCCGGATGTTTGTTTTTAAGTTTGAGCTGAATGAATGACAAGAAGACGATGATGGCTAGGTCATCGGAGGCGATCATGGTGTGGTTGTGCTGTGGAGCCGGAGCTCTTACTGCAAAAAAATGGCGGGCGAGAGAGAGCATGTGACGAAAGTTGTAGCACGCCCCACCGGTGACCTTCAGCTAGCTGGATGGAGACTTGGGCTTTAACCGAAAATACTGAGCACCGTGGGCACGCAAGACGGGAATGACTCAACTTGGAGGGGTTTACATGATACAATATGTGGAAGCGCATAGAGCTGAGAAGACCAAATACATGACATAGCTACTTAAACAATGAATACAAGAGAAGAAGCCAGCACGAAGTTATTGAGCAATTCATCCCTGATATCGAGTAACGTGATCCCTACTTCCAACGCTGTCAGCAACAACAAGGCCAAGTCCAAGTAAGAGAGAGCTAAGGCGCAGTATTCGACGACTACGTACGTACGGAGAAATCCTCGAGCAACAACAACAACCACAACCAACATATCATCGAAACGGCGCGCGCCAAGATAACCCCAACATCACGAACCAGCAGATCCCCCCTCCCTCAATATCACATCCACCACCGCCCCCCCAACCCCTCCAAAAACCCCAGATCAACCCCAAACCAACTCTTCCACGGATCGACCTCGAGCCGCCACGGGCGGGTATTAACCGCCCACACCGCCGCCGTCGTCAATCTCCTACACTCCTCCCTATCGCACCCCATAACCAAAAACGCATCCTTCCGCACAACAACCTTCTTCCCAAACAACCTCCCCCGATACGGCTCTATGCGGCCCCTCGCACTCTGATGCACGCTCCACTCGCTATACGGCATGTCCTTCGGGATAAACTTCCACTCCCACATGCGGCCCGCGCCGTCGGCGAAACTGGTGTTGTCGCGGTTATCGAAGCCGAGCATGAGCGGCCAGAAATGCGGGGCGCTCCAGAGCTTGAGGACGGAGAAGACGGCGCCAGGGTTGTCGCGATCGAAGCGGCGCGCGTGGTCGAGGAGCGGGTCGATCGAGTGCGGGTCCTGCAGCGTCGGCGGGAGGTGTATTTGTGGGATGGAGAGGCGCCAGTCGAAGTAGACGTCTGGTTTGCCCGGGCGGTCGGGCTCGGTGAGGCAGACGGCGGGGCCGTTGCCGGTGGGCCAGTATCTGGTGGTGGTCAGCTGGGAGGAATGGGGCAGTAGAGGAGCGAGGAGGGGAACGTACGAGGGGCAGATGACGCCTTCACGGTAGAGGTGCGCGACGGTCGGGCGCACGACGAGGTTCCAGTGCTCAGGATAATAATCGATGACGTGGCGGCGGCCTTCTTTCGTCTTGCTGACACCAGCATCCCATTCCTGCCAGTGCTCCTTCGGACGCGTCTTGTTCGAATGCGGCGAGCGGATGTCGGGCGGGTGGGCGGCGCGCGCCGGCTGGTTCAGCAGGAGCGAGCTCTTGAACGACAGGCCCGTCTCCGAGTTGAAGAAGGCGGCATTGTCGCCGAAGAAGATGGACGTCAGCGTCCAGGCCATGTTCATGTCCCGCTTGATGCGGCGGTGGCTGTCCCTCTCGATGCCCAGGTCCGCCAGGAGCTTCATGCTGCTCTTGACCCGGCGGAGCATGTGAATTGTCGATTGTCCGCCCAGCTTGGGTGTGTCCCACTTCTCGAGCTCGGTCATGAGGCGCGTGTACTCGTTCCAGCGCTCCTGAGCGCCCGGCTCAAGGTCAGCTCTGTGCCAGCACTCTTTGAAGCCTGGACATGTTAGCTACTGCAATGGTTCCTTAGGGGAGGGTACTTACAAGCTGAACGCTCGCGCTCCATGTGAAGTTCCCAGTCATCCTGGAACATATCTACCAACTGCGCCTTCTGTTGAGTCTTGGTGAGCTTCTTTTCTTTCTTGGGTTTCTTCGTCAATGCCTTGGACTCTTCAGCTTGTTCCGCTTCTTCAAGGCGCAGCTTCTCAACTACGTTAAAAACCTCGTCATATTCAACAGCAGAAGCCGGACGGACTTCTCTGACATTGCTCCACAATTCATCCCAATCGGAAGCACCTGGGAATTTGTACTCCTTTGTAGCCTTCTCAAACACTTCCTTTTCCTCCTCCGCGGAAGTCGGAAGGGGAAGCTCGAGATGTTCAAGCAGGGCCTTCATGGGAGGGGTGTCCTCAGGAACATCTGCGAACGGGTCCTTCACATAGTCCCTAAAGGGTGGGGCTTCCTCAGCATCCTCATCCACTGAGCTATCTTCATCTTCCCAGCCGTCGTCTTCGTAATCGTAATCAGTCTCGTCGTCACCGATGAACTCGTCGGACGAGTCGAAGTCGTGCATGCCGTCGCAGTCGGGATCATCACACTCGGAGCCGCAAGAATCGCTGAGTTCATCATCCGTGTCCAGACCATAGGCGAATCGCTTCATGGACGGGCCGAAGTTCTCAAAGCGGTGCATCCTTCCCTGAGTGGCCAGGAGTGCTTCTCCTTCGTCGTTCTTGCCCGTGTCCTCGGATTCCTTCAGCATACCTTGGGACTTGTTGGCTGACTTGTGCTCCCATGGGAAGAGTATTTCGTCTTCGAGTCTGTCCGCTTCGCTGTATCTCCACTCCTTGGGCATGTCGTCGGAGAGCTCCTCGGCCGACTCGGCATCGTCGGTGAAGAATTTGACGCGGTTGGAGTCGCTGTTGATATCATCCCTGGGTAGGTGTGTCAGTCTCTGTTCGTCAGGGATGATGGAAAGAAACTCACCAGATGCTCTGCACCTTACCCTCCTCACCCGGCCTGATATCCCGCGTGCGCTGCGTCTCCTTGTCGCGCGTGATAGTCTTGAGAATATGCTCGGACGGCTTGTACATGTCGAGGCCGCACTGGAAGCGATGAGCTTTGATGAGGGCAGTCTGCACGCCGTTGTACAGGTGGGAGAAGTGGAAGCCCGGCTCGAGGTCCCAGATGATGACGTCGTAGTACTCTTTAAAGTTGAAGTGCCACTGACGCTGCCTGTCCATGTCCTCGAAAAATTCCGGGCCGACCTCCTTGACAATGTTCCACTCGTTGCGGGAGGCGCGGCCCATGCCCGACTTTTCGCGGATGAGCCAGAGCTCGCTCTCCGGCGGCTTGGCCAGGATGTTGCCCGTCTTGACGTCGCGGACCAAGACGACCATCGAGTTGGCTTGCATGACAATGTACTGGATGAAGCGGCGCGAGACGGGGTCGTTGCGTTTGAGGCAGGCGCAGATGAAGTTGCGGGCTTCGAAGATCTGGTGCTGGCGGCCGTAGTGGCTGCGGGATCCGGTTTGGTGGTGTACCGTGTACTTGTCGGCCATTTCCATCTGGAAGTACGGTATAAAGCCCTGGGCCTGGGAGTTATCATCTGGAAATTCATTGCGAGGAGAGGGGAACATACTAGCTGCAGCACCTGTTGGCGCATTTGATCACCAACCCAAGCGGCCCAGTTGCCAGACGGGAAGTACTGATATGTGGCAAGGATGCTGAGCTCGAAGAACTCATTCCAGTTGCGGCACAAGCTGACGGCCTCAAATAAGGTGCAGTCCTTGGCCATGATGGAGAACTGCAACCAGCCGCCGCGCGACATGGCCTTCTCGCTGGGGTAGTTGTAGATGTACTTGCCACAAACTTTGACGCGGATCTTCTTGATGTGGTACTGGCCTCGGTCATCGATGTCACCAAAGTCGACCATGGCGCCTGCACCGGCACCAATGGCCTTGTCTCGCTTGTCCTTCAACGCCTTCTCGCGCTTGGTTTGGTAGGAGCGTGGGATAGCGTTGGGTCGGGTGATGTGATAGCGATAGCTACGCGGGCGAGCTACCGTGGTGTCCTTCTCGTCATCGTCTTCTTCGTTTTCGCCGCGCTCCAAGTCGGCACAGGCGTCGCGGAGTTGCTGCAATCCCGGTTGCTCCATCTCCAAGCAGAGGTCACGCAGATCGGTGTTGGTCACTTCCTCATCAGCAAGAAACTCGTCGATGCTGTTGGAGCGAAGGGCAATGGGGAGGAGAGCTGCATGGCCAAGGACGAGGCGGCAGAAGAGGAGCTGCTTGATCTCGGTAATCTGGGAGAGCAAGCTGTCGATCTCGTCATCGGGAACCGGTGGCATGCGGTCTTCGATGGCGGTAGGGTTCTCGACGGTGCCGCGTAGCTTCCAGCCTGGGCCGCGCTCGACCTTCTGTCCCTCACGCAGGCGCCGACGCACGTCGTCCTTGTTCTCTACGTGCACTTCGCCGGGCTTGGGGCCTTCCTGCTGAGGTTCGTTGGCCTTGGCAGCCTTCTGCCTTGCCCGCTTCTTGGCGGCCTTGCTCTTGGGCGCATCCGCAGCCCTCTCGGCTGCCCCTTCGCTCGGGGCCGCTGTGTTCTCAATGTTCTTCAGCGGCGTGCGGTTCTCTTCAGCCGGCTTAGCCTCTCTATCGCTAATGACATCACGCGCTGTCTCCTGCCACAGGAAGAGGCGCAGCAGGTCGATATAGTTGCCACGCTCATCCTCGACCGAGTCCTCGATGGGGTCCCAGTCCTCATCCGACATGTCGCCCTCCTTCGCACGTTCCTCCCACGCCTTGTCCAAAAAGTCATCCTGGCGCTTCTCCTCCTCGCGCTTCCTCAGCTCGCGCATGCGGGCTTCAACCTCCTTCCAATGGCGCTTGAGCAGCTGCGCCTCCTGCTTGACCTTCTTCTTCTCGGCATCGCGAGCGGCCTCCTCGGCATCCTCGAGCGCACGCACCCACTTGAACCACTTCTGCTGCTCATACAGCACCTCGGCGGTGCGCCTCTCGACCCTCTCCAGCGCCCTCAACACGGCATGTTTCTGCGACGCCAGCGCATCCAAGTAATGCTGGTGTCCGTAGTCGAGCTGGAGCGCGTAAAAGCGCGAATGGTGCAGCTTGCGGGCGCGGATCACGCGGTCGAGCAGGGCGTGCCGTTCGAAGAGGTGGTCGTGCAGCTGGCGCAGCTCGTCCTCGGACGAGATGGAGGCGAAGTCGACCTTGGACAGCGGGGTGCCGGCGGCGTCCTGGGCGGCGAGGAACGGCGGCGGGTGAGCGATCAGGTGGTCGAGCGCGGCGTTGCGCCGCTTGTAGCCCTTGTACAGGCCGTAGACCTGGCGCGCGTGGAACTGGCAGAAGAGCCCGTTGGCGTTGGTCGCGGCCGACGTGCAGCGCGTCTCGTCGGAGAGGTGCAGCGCTTGGCACTGCGGCGCCATGGCGGCAGGTGTCGGATGCGGGTCTGGGGGAGAGCAGTGCGCGGCAGTGGTGCGTAGCGACGTGTGGGGGAGCAATTGAGGGTGTTGGCGGGGCAGAGGTGGCATTTTTAGGCCGGCGAGCTGCCAGGGACTGCCTGCGGGCGACGCGCCGAGGGAGCTTGGGCCATGGACGCGTCGTAAATTAAGTCCCGGCCGCCATCCATGCAAAATCCCCGCGGGGAAGTGCTCCGATGCGGCCACCCTTGTTCCTTCACACTCAGTCCTACAGAGGGGTGCTGCAGCCGATGGCTAGCGCGAAGAATAGCAGGGCTCTAGAACATAGCGTAACTATGCTCCAGTCTCTGCCTTGGAAAAATTAACATATGTAAGTAGTTGAAGCTATCGTCCGGACGTGTATGTAGAGTTTTTAATTCGACATTCCCGTCCGGACGATAGCTTCAGCTACCCATGACATGAGTAAAAATCAAATTGACGCTAGCCATCGGCTGCGAGAGGGGACTGTACACAAGAGCCGCCCGTGCGCCGCCCCATCTGCAGAGGACGGCAGCTTGCTTTTGCCTGTATATGAACCTCACCGCCTCACTGACACGACTCTGGCGCGGTGTCATGCGATTCTGCCGTCTTTGGGGGCCGAAGGATGTGCATCAAGATAACGGAAACACAGCGACCGCATTAATTAGCCCAACAATTTTTCATCGCAAGTGATCCATGGTATCCTCCAAGCCGAATCTATCCCGCCGCCGCCGCAGCCAGCCAATTTTTTACACATTAGTCTTGAGAGCCACCCGTCGGAGCTTTCTGGGGATAATCAGAAGCTTGGCAATCCGAGTCCTGCGTCATCAGCTTTATGATCAGTCATTTGGCACAGCTCAGGGACTTTAACTCCGTTTTCTTGCCATCGATCACAATTCCCCGCTATTAAAATTCTATACATACGAATGGGTAGTTCCGTTCGGGGCGGGTTTCCCTGGATCACGGCACTTCTGTAGCTATAACAAATCTGAACTGTCAGCCTCACTACCCGTGTGATCAGCATGCACGCCTGTGGAACAACAGAACGATATCTTTCCATAGCTCTTCCAACTTAACCCCCATTCAGGGCCTATTCTGTTCCGGTGGATGATTTGGCCGGTAGAATCGCTACTTTTAGACCTGTTCCGAGCCACCCCTTTTGCTCCCTTTTCCCTCTTTCTCTCTCAGATCCTATCCATTCCATGCATACAGTAGCGAATCTACCAGTGTCTAATTTAACACAACAGCCTTGAATTTTCTTTTGAGCTTCAGCCATTCAACGCAGTCAACTTCACCCAGACCCGTCCGATACGATATTCCATTTGATGTTCGAATCGCCATGACGTGCATCATCCATCTAAAGCCCATTTGGAATTTGGGCAAGCTTGATGGGTCAGCTTCTTTAATACCGCTCTGAAGGTCGATATCTTCATCCTCGCTCAAATCATATCTGTGTTTCCACACCCATGCCGCTGACAATCCAAAGACTTCCAACTCCAAGGGCCCTCTCTGTAGCATATTGACAGCCTCAGAATAGTCTGAGCGCAAATCATAGTCAAACTTGCCAATCCGTTGACGGCCGTGGAAAAGGTCGAACTGTCTATACGAAGAAGCCGATCCCAGCGTCAATACAACAGCTTGTGAGTAGCCCAGCACAACACCGGGTTTGCGACCGACTTCAATTTGTTTCTTATCGAACCGTTCGAGCAATCTATACCTTTCCTGGCTATCTGGGTTGATGCCACGGCATGCTTCGAAGAACTCCTTCTTGGTCGGCCAATTCTCCCGGAACAAATTTGCGTACTCTCCGATTTTTCCCTTGAAACGCAAATTGTCTGGAAATGGCTCAATCATGCAACCGTTTCTCCATATAATACTTCCTAGTGCAGCGTCCTCAAGAGCATGATCTTCTGCTCGTGGCCAGGGAGCTTGGACAGTGTCGTTGCCATCAAGAAAGACCCATGACGCGACCGGGATGATTCGATACGAATCATCATACTGGCATTGGCCTTTAACCGAGGCCCAGGACCATGATGGAAGTGCAGAGTTGCCTTGAGATTGTCGTTTCTCACATGGAGGACACCGTGCCCTCCAAAGGAACGCATAGTCGAAATCTTCCAGGGGAATGGCAAAGCGATGGTCTTTACCAAAAAAGGAATTGAGGATACCGGAAAACCCGTTTATTATGTCCCACTCGTAGCCGAATTCTCTCTCGGTAATCATCTCTACGGCAGTATTATACCGCAAACCACCGTCAATGGATTTGTCGCTGGACTTCCAATGAAACTGTGGAACATGCCCTCCGGTTGCCCACTCTTGGATGTCAGCTTTCATGAGATTTATACGATCATCCTCGTAGAAGAGTCCATACTTTGTGAAGAAAAGCAGACGTGGTGAAAAGATAGCCTCCTGGTATGTCCACCCTCGCTTATTCCACACGGATACACCCAAATCCATATGGAAGTACCACCGCGAGTCCAACAAACAGAAATCGCCCATGAAAACTCGGTAGAGAGGCACCCGGTTCAAACTGACGCCGGGCAAGCCATGTGTTGAGCTCGACCCCTCTGAAGCAACCAGTGTAACGAACCCACAGCGGTAAATGTCTCCCATGGCGTTAATCTGTTCCTTTTTCGACGGGTTGTTTTCTTCGTCCTCATCCTGCAGAATGCAAAGTCTGTCGACCCATAGATACCGCTTGCCAAGAGCATAACATGCCACGATGGCATCTTTTACAGTTGCTGGAACATCCGAACCTTCGATCACACTCCGCTGCTCCAAGTTGTCCCAGGTTCCAAGGCTGTTCGGTTGTTCGAAGATGTCGATAGTGTCAAGGGTAGCTTGGTATGACGTATCCTTTCCCCATACGTAGCTTAGACACACGTATTCGCACGGCTTCCGTGCTCGTACGACACAGAGGCTTTCAACATCGATCAGGCGGAAGTCAGTGGGAAAACGATCCAAGTCGTCCTTTTTAGGACCTTCCTGGAACCACTTCTTGACCACTGGCCAAACGATTTTGTCGGAAACACTCCGACTGATCGTCAAAACCGGCTGTGGCCCCAATCTCTCTGGCTCTTGCAGTAGCAAGAAACGATTGGAATAAGTACGAAATGAACCCAATATTCCAATTTTCTCATCATCGCCGCCCTTTCCTCTTACAAAGACCCAAATCCCGGCATCGCTCATGGGACACTTGAGAATAACGTCCTGGTTAGGGTCGAAGTGATCCCTGCGAGCGACTATTGTGGAGATTACCAAGCAAATGATACAGATGTCACTGCGTGATAACATGTTCGGGATCGTGTCCATCTTTAACTCTGTCCTGTCGTAATAGCCACCCTTGAACCAGTCTTTTACGCGAGGGTCTGCGCAGAAAGCGCAACGATTTTGGTTGTCGTCCTTTCTGTGAAAATATACTTTGGAGATATTTCGCAGTCGTTCTCTAGTCCGGTGTTCCCTCCAGGGATGAACTTCCTGGCGGATGAAAAGGCTCCTGCAGATGGAACGAGCATTTTTGGTTTTGCGCAACCCTGGCCGGGCGCTGGCCGTGGCCGAAACTTCCTCTTCCATGTCCCGTGTATTCCAGGTGTGGGCCACTCTAATACGAGGTTAGTCAGATGGAGAGGAAGATAAGAACTGAAGTATGGTTGTTTACCGAGTCTACTGTGTTGTTTAGCAGGTATTTGCGCGTTTGAGGGCGCGAAAGTATACAGCGAAAACGTGTTGGGAGACCTTTGGCTTTTCCTGGTTTCCGGCATAAAATTGGTATTTCGAGAATAGTAATAATGGAGGTTTTAGCAGTCGGAAAGATGGCCCTTTAACTACCACTGTGGAGTCAGGATTGCTGCTGCCTTGCACAATTAACAGGCGAGAATCGGCCGCTTGCCATCTTCCATTGGCTATTTACATTGCCACTAACGGCACTGCCTTAGCGCTAGACACAGGCTGGCGTGGCTGGTATGTACTGTGTGTGTTGGCAAGTGGGGCCACTGGGGACTGTACGGTATCCGGTCCCCACATAATCAAAATCCGTCAATCAGACACTGGTAGACCTACAACGTGATTATTCAAACGCAGAAAATAAGGAACAAAGCCATGTAAGCTGTGTGGTAAATGCTGGAAACCTCCATGTTTGCGAGACATATCCTTTCCAATCTTCTAAGCTTGGATGCTAATAAGACTCTCATATTTATTTTGTTCCGGGTTGCCTATGGGAAGCATTACGCTTTACGAACTAGGCTTTCTAATATCTCTGTGTGTAATTATTTGGCAATGCGTGCGCTTCAACTTAGTTTCCTTGCAAGAGGTTACAATTGTTATACATATTATTACAACTCCATGCTGCGAGTTCGATGCAGGTGTTTCGAAACGAAATGTCATGATCGCAGCACATCCAGCAAATCTCAACGGGGACAACTACGTCACTAAGGGTCCCTTGTTCAAGTTTCGACCGTCAATGAGGACCCTGATGACACAATGAACCGCACATATGAGTGGTGGATACATATAAAAACAGCATGGAGCCGCACTGCCGTTACAAGGCTTAGTTGGAACACTCTACACTCATCCTGTCCCAAATTCCTGGTCGCAAACGTAGAAGGCCGTGCTGCTGCTGCACACACTATCTGGTCCTTGCAATTTCCACCGTAACTTCTTCAAGTCGACGTCCTTGGTTCACCAGCCTTCCAGACATGGCGTCGTCCATTCTCCTCAGTCCGAGAAAGGCGGTTTATCGGCCCGGAGATGAGGTCAAAGGGTTCGTCCAGCTCTGCGGCCAAAATATGGACGAAGTGGCCTGTGTGCAGATCACATTTCTGGGTCAGCTGAAGTCCAAAGCTTCCAGCTCCGCCCAGATGATCGTTCTCCCTATGGTCGTTTCCTCTATGATCCTTCTCCCCACGGTCAATTCCTCTATGATCGCTCTCCCTCTGCTGGTTTCCCCTATCGTCTTCCCCACAGAAAGAGACCGCGTCCTTCTATTCAAGAGGGATACTTTAACACTCTACCGCGACCGGAGCACAGTCCAATCGTCCACACGCATGTGGGAATTCTCTTTCCGCTTCCCCGTCTCCATCATCCCACGCAGAGTTGAAAGATGGGAGACGGGAGTGGTAACGAAGACTTTTCGCGAGCAAGCCTTACCTCCTTCATGCCGCATTGAGACGTCGCATGGCTATTGCTCTGTGTCGTACACCTTGCAAGCCACCGTAAAATTCCACAAAGGCAAGCCTCAGCACTACTTCAGGTCCTTGACATTCGTTCCCACAGCCAGCGCAAACGACATGTACCCCGAATGGATCAGATACAAAAACGGAAACTACGTAGCTCACGGGTCCGACCTGCTACCGAGACCAGCCCCCAGTGCAGTAGTATTGGGGCGCGAGAAGATCATGTCGCTTTGGCCCAAGACAAAGCTGCCGACGCTGAGGCTCGAGATGAGACCCTTCTTCCCGGCCCACCTCCGCGTTGGTGAGCCATTCCGCATACGTATCCATGTGATTGTGCAGGAGCCCCACGACCGCGACATACCTCTGCCAAGTGTGCCAGAGCTGTATCTTGAGAAAGCCGTTGTGTCTATCGAGCGTAGAACCAACGTCACGACCGGATTAAATTCGTTCTCCAGAAATAAGTATATATTTCCGAAAACCATCGCAGGTCCCAGGACTATCTTACCCGGAAGCAATATCGTGGAATTCGATCAGAAGTGGCTTCTCCTCTCTCCGCCAATAAGACTTTCCAGCATACGGCAGGAGGACTCGATCTACATGATGTTTGTGGTGACCACAGCTGGAGGGAGACACAAAAGACGCTTCAAGCTGGAGGCGAGCATTGACATTCAAAGGCAAGCAGCCAGCAATACTTTCATGCCTCGAGTGACGAAGACCCTCGCTACATGAACATTATAGGCGCTTTGTGAAGCATTTGGAGATGATTTTCCAGGCTGGGTGGCGAAATTGTAGCTTTGGCATGTTTCAGTATCTTCATATCATATGGACCGGCTTCTTTTTTTCCGCAAACAAAATGCGGGCCCAAAACGGGCCTCGTATCTAAAGTTGTTGCTCTCTTAATAGAACAATACTACTCCCAACCAGACGGGAACTTTGTCTTCAATATAGGCACGATTTCAGCAAGGCTTGATATGTTGTATCTTCTGGAAAAATGTTGACTCGAGGCAGCTGGATGGATGACGTCAGCGAGCGGGGAAACCCGGGCAGAGCAGCTGACCAAGTACCAGTAGTTACATCCTTCGTCAGCTGCGCCATCTCCCATCCTCTCCGTCTACAGTGAGCGTTCCTCTGGCTGTTTCATCTCTCATCTTGCATCTGCAGTGAGCGTCTCGTTCGGGTGTTCCATCTGCTCCCATCTCCGTTCCCGTCATGCAACATGTTCGGGTGCCTCCGGCCTCCTGGTTCGATTTCGGGAATTCGAAGAGTATCCAGCTATCCAGCAGCCTCCAGCAGACTAAAAGCCGTCCGACGCACGCAAGTCTCGGTCCCGTTCACTACGGAATCGTCCCGCAATGCTCCCGTTCCTCCACCGCCCCCCACCCCTGACTCCGCCACTCTTTCCGTAAGCTGGCTGGGCTATCAAGTACCCATCAGAACAGTAAAGCCGAGCAAGCTAAGCATTTTCTGATGCACTCAAACCTCAATTACCGTGGCAAAACTGTCCCGCAACGTTCCCGTCCCGCAAAGTTCCCGTCCCGCCACCTTCCCCCTGGCCCCCCAAATCACTTCATAAGCTCTCCCGGTCGTCAGCCATCCATCAGAGCGCGTAGAACAAGCCAGCGTTGGTGGTTTAGTGGTAAAATTGATCGTTGCCAAGCGTTGCAGCCTCCTCCGGCCCTCCTCCACCAAGAGGAGGCACCCCCAGGACCTCAACACCAAGTCTCGATCAGCCCCGGGTTCGATTCCCGGCCGACGCATCTTCTTTTGCTGCCCTAGAGGCTGCTGTTTTGCTGCGGAGACGGTCGTGGTGTTGAAGGAGAGCAAAAGTTTTGGCCCCTGGCGGCAGCCACGTGCAGGCCGCAATCGGGCAGGAACAACCTAGCAGCCTCGCGAGGACTTCCAAATAACGGGGAATTCCATGTTTCTCTGCGAGAAGAGCGCTGCGGGGCCGTCTTTTTTTGGTTGGTGGCGATTATTGGTGTTGAGCGCTGGTTTTGATTGTGCGGGCCGGGCACGGACGGGTCTCGGTGGTGGACCCTGAGCCGAGGCGGGGCTAGACGGTGATCGGGCCGGCCGGCGGCCACTTTTTTCAAGCTCTCGCGGGAGAGCTGATGCTCTGCAGATGTGTGTCGGAGCGGAAGGCTGGGGTGAGGAATAGCAGAGGCTTGGAACGGGGAGGGATCTATGCGGAAGACGAGATTCACGCCTGTCATTCGTTGCTGCTCCACCAGCTTAGAAATGCATGAGGGAAGGGAGCAATCGGCCAATTTTTAGGACGAGATGTGCATTTGACCTTCCTTTCTCTGCTGGCCTCGGCGGCAGTGTCGCGCGCGGTGACGGATTCAATTACCCATGGCATAAGCGAGAAGAATCACGCAGCATTCAGCTGCATCAAACCTCTGTAGATGTCAATGGCAGCATTTCAAAGTGTAGCCCGCGCATGGCTGGTAGACTTAAGCGAGCCAAGCAACGGCAGACGGGAATAAGCATCCCTATGCACTGCAGGGCTGACGCGTGTAATCAACACGCATTAGTGTGCATGCAGCTGCATAGAGGAGGTCAGCTTTCGGCCAATTACGGCGCTGCTGGTCCAAATCCGAAATGAGATGGGGGCGATATTGCTGCAGCACAGCCTTCAAAGTAAAGTAGGGATCCGGGGCGCCGATGGAGAGCTTGGGAAAGATAGTATCGATCGTTGGATCCTACAGTGGCAATTCCGGCGCGTTGTGTCAATATGATGCATTAAATAGTGGTTGCGGCGAAGCTATAACGGCGAGGCTGCGGTAAAATTTAAAAGATGGCGTACAACAACTCAATTTTCATGCTGTCAGCATGCCAAAAGACAGTAGTCGGTTGCCAATAAGCTCTATACTATCATTGCATTTACAACCGAAGCTGCTGAGACTGCATTCCTCACTGAATTGGCGATGCACAGCAGGGGCAAGTCGAAAACCCACATCAATGACTTGCCAGAGCTGCTGACACGCACAGCTTAGTGAAACATGGGCGAGAGGCCTTATCTCCAGCTGGTCGTCAAAGCAAGAAAAATACGGGGCCAATAATAACATCACGAGCCACAAAAACATCATGCAGCAGCAATTCACCAAAGGCAAATTAGGGTGACTGCAGCAATGAACTTACCTACTCCAAACCCTGGCCCACAGCCAATCCCCCAACAACACCCGCAGCGCAAGGGTTTGCGGTCAACCGTTGATTCCGCCTCGAATCTCCACCCAGCCACCGCGCTAGCAAGTCCCTCCCACCGCCCCTTCTCGTTCCATTGTGCAATGCGACCAGCTGCCTCACACGACCAGCCTCTTCAATCTTGCACCGAACCTCGGCGTTGACGCAGCCGCGGGGGCCTTGCGGAACAGCTTCGCGTAGCTGAGCAGGTTGACGATGGGCGCTTTGTCCGCAGGCTCAGCGGCGAGGCGCTCCCGGCGCTTCTCCTTTAGGGCGAGTGTGCAAACATTGTCAAGATTGACGACAGTGGTGTAGCTGCTGCTGCCACGAAAGGCCGCCGGGCGCGTTATGTTGTCGCGCGTGTTACCGGAGGACCGCGATCCGGGGTGTTTGCGTTGCAGAAGCATCAGAAGCCGGCCGACACATGGCGTCAATGTTCATAGGCTTTCAAAATGCGGGTCGACATTTTTGACTTTCGCGCGAGGTCGTTATCGGAGACCGCAGGAGTCCGAAAGTTGAGGTGGTCGTGGGCACATTGGCTTAGTAAGCCGTTTTTTTTTTTTGCCCGGGACCGGCTTTCACCCTGCGACGTCATAGCGCGCTGCAAGACAATCGACTTTCCCAAGCGTGCCTGGCCGAGAAAACTGCACATTGCTTATACACGATTTTTTTCCATCTTGATGCGGTCCTGTTATCTGGAGCGGCCGTTGGCATCTGGAAATTTACATCACGGATCCATCAAGTAAAAACAGAGCTGTCTTTCCCGATTTACAGAATCAACTTCTCCGCAGCTTCCTGCAAGTTGGGAACTCGCTGAGTGCTGCGCAGAAAGCCCTGGAAAAGGGTCCACCTCCTGATCCACAGCCACCGCCCCCCCAACCACACCAGTCCCCAGTACCTGTATATCGACTCAGCACCCATCCTGATCTCGTTCTGCTGCTTTTGGACATTCAGAACGTCAATACATAAGTGTTGTTTTGCTTTCTCACTTCCACAACACCTCCATCAGCTCCTCTAAGGAGCTTCTCATCTTCGATGGTCTAGTGGTGATGATTTCCGCTTGTCAAAGCATTTGCTCTAGCAAGCGCGGGAGACCGGGGTTCGATTCCCCGTCGGAGAGTTCTTCTTTTGCTTCCTGGATAGCCTGGGAGTCGTGGTGTTGAGGTTTCTTTTTGGGTGGAAAAATGTCATCTGCACACTGCACGATCTCGCCGGTGCAAGTGCGCCTGCCAAGACACAAATGACAGGCCTGTAACGTCGAGAAGAGACTATTCTTTTGCTCGTAAGTAGCGTGGGTGCGGTGCAGAAGTGGTGGTGTTTAATTTTCTTTTTAGCGGAGCGGCATCCGGGCGCCACGCCACAACGCGGCCCGCGCGGGGTAAGTAAGCCTGCCCAATGAAATTGGGGGAGTCTATATTGTGTGCCTGTGTTCCTCTTTTGCTGACAGATAGCTTTGTGCATGGTATATAGCAGGATGATGCGTACGAAGCCGGTTTCGTTAGTGATTCGACACATCAGCAGTGGAAGCATCTATCCAGAAATGAATGCGCAATGCCACTGGGAACATTTGCATCGGGATGAGATGTTCAACTCGCCGATTTGTTGCATAGTGAGTGGGTTTTTCGTTGCTCCTTTTGGTTGTCCGACCGAGTGGTTAGGCGTTAGCGAGGACGGGCCGAGAACCGAGAGACTGGTCCATGGATTCTTGGTGACTTGGCTTCTCTGTATTGGACCAGACTTCTGCATTGGTTTAATGATTGTTGAATTGACACCCATGTTCAGGCAATCTCTTCAATCGCCCCCATCAGCAGGCCGCCATTCTGTCTCGGAGGTGTAAGCTTTTCGCAGCCCACTGGGTCTGAGCAACGCCGCATTCTGACAGGCGTAGCTGCGCATGCAGGGGCGGGAAATGAGGAATGTTGAAGCAGGGAAACCCCCGCACTTCTCCATGTGACAATGTAGAAGCTCTGAGACAGCAGAGTTCCCCACACAACCAACATAAACGAGAGCATAACTGAAGATGATAGAACAGTTGAGTTCGCCGGTATGCATTCTAATAGGTTAAAGAAGAGATATCAAAGAGCACAAGTCTTATGCTACGATCAGTCAGCTATTGCAGGTGAGACAAAAGCTTATCCAAGACCGCCGCTTGCAGCAACGGGTTTCCCCGCATTTCCCGCTCTTATACTCGAGCAATGCGGGCACAGGGCATCCCGTCTACATATATTAAACCGCAGAAGAAGCCCAAATGTTCCTCCTCACACCAAACAAACAAATAAACACACCATGCCCCTCCTAACCCCCCTCCTCACCATCCTCAACCTCCTCCTCCTCCTCCTTCACTCCCCCCTCCCAACATGCCTCGCCTCCAACCACAACGACATCCCCTACTACACCCTCGAAGAGCACTGGGTCTCCCCCGCCCTCGCCCCCTTCCTCCTCCAAAACCACGTCATCCGCGCCCTCAACCTCGGCTCGCGCGCCTCGCAGCTTCTCCCAGAAGTCGGGCCCTTGCGCCTCGCCTCCATGGACGCCAACAACATCCTTATCCAAACCATCTCGCACGTCCCCGTGCCCGAGGCCCTCTACCTGCCCAACCTGACCGCGCAAGCCAACGACCAGCTGGCCGCCCGCATCGCCGCGTCACCGCAACCGAGCCGCTTCCGCGGGTTTTGTATCCTGCCGATGGGGCTGCCTGGCGCGGCGGCGGAGGAGCTGCGGCGGTGCGTGCGGGAGCTAGGGTTCGTGGGCGCGCTGGTCGACGCGCTGTTGCCGAACAGGCAGGCGTACGACGCGCCGGCGTACGACGAGCTGTGGGAGGTGGCGGTCAAGCTGGACGTGCCGATCTACCTGCATCCGACGCCGCCGAATCCGGACGAGGTGTTTGATGTCGGGGCGGGGTTGTATGCGCCCGCGGTGCCGGGGGAGTATTCGGAGTACGAGGCGGCGTCGTTGGGGACGTGGGCGTGGGGGTGGCATGAGCGGGTGGGGCTGAGCTTCATCAAGATGTACCTCGGGGGCGTGTTTGAGCGGTTTCCGGGGCTGCAGGTCGTGCTGGGGCATATGGGGGAGCTGGTGCCGTTTTTTCTGGACAGGACGGATCGGAAGGTGAGTGGGAATCGGTCGGTGACGTTTAGGGAGGTGTGGGGGTGCAATGTTTATGTTACGACGAGCGGGATGTTTAGTTTGGATCCGATGACGACGGTGTTGAGGACGACGGATACCAAGAGGATTATGTACAGCGTTGATTGGCCGCTCGAGTTCAACGAGGATGGCACGAAGTTCATGGCGGAGCTGAGGTCCAGCGGGCTGGTGTCGGAGAAGGAGTTTGAGGACATTGCTTTCAAGAATGCGAAGCGGCTTTTGCGGATTTAGTTTGTTCATGTCTCTGTTCGTCTCTTCTCATGTGTGGCGAAAAATGAGAGTATCGTACAATAAGAAGCTGTACACACGATTTCCGGTTGTAATTAGATGATTTGAACAACCTCATTGCTGAGTTCCTCCATCTCAATCTCCTGACATCGAGCTGCCCTCCTCCAACTCTGCCAGAAAATTCCCACGCGTCGAAACACGTTCTGCTCATCTACCTTGGAAATAAGTAGCCCCTGCCAGTCATCAATGAACAGTGCAGAAAACTCTCTCCCAAAACTCCGCATCTCCTCATCATCATCGAAGATGGCTCTTCCTGTAACGAACATTCCGGACGGGCGAGCAACGTCAGGGAACTCAATGTTCAGAGCGGGATCGCGTTCTGGATACCAGATGCACCGGGTGAGCGGGCCCTTGATCGTAGCCGATCCCGACCGCACCTGTCCGTATGGGTCTGACGCGCTAACGAGTTCCATTTGAACGTCGAGGACGCTTGAAACGAGCGCGTCGTTGTTGATGTAGCGGATGCTGCCGTCGACACTTGCCCAGCTCCAACTGGGCGCTCTGTAAGTAGTCTGTCGCTTAGCTGACGGGCCGCAGTGCCAGAGGAGTAGGGCCAGGAAGCTATCTCGGAACAGCCCTGCGGCGTAATCTTCTTGGAGCAGCTCTCCGACCTGCCGGGCGATGGCCGAGATGGCGACCAGCTTGTCATCGTTTGGGTGCGAGAGCTGCCGGTTGGTGTACTCTGGTACCAGTGTTATCCTCCAATAATCGAGGACATCCTCTTTGTTCCCGGGGTTGCGAGTGAAGAAAGTGGACGGGTTGGGAATGGTGAAAGGCGTCAAGGATCCCTCTTGGGAATTGATGGTCCAGAAATTACGGGGCCGCAGCTCGTTGAATACTACGGTTTCGCACTCCCAGATGACCCGGTCCGCGCCAAAGTGGAGAGTCCTCGGAGATAGTATCCGTTCTTGAAGAACCCAGGCCCGCTTGGAGAGTGGCCCATTGGCCAGGTCTCTCATCAGGAAGGGGTACGTTACAACAAGGTAGACTTCACCATGAGGCTGCATGGAGTGGCTATAGATAGCGTAGCTGTTTCCCCCGGACCTCCTGAAGCCCTCGCCCTCCTGAACAAATGCGCCTACATGAGGGTTGGAAGCATGGTCGATTGAAATATTGAGGAGGCAGTTCTGGTATATCTGAGCCATCGCCTCGGCTTGCTCCAGCCAATCTTGCCTGGATGATTTTCCTCGTTGGATGATGCAAAGGCTATCGATCCAAAGGTACTTTATGTCGAACTGGCGGCACACCTTTATCGTATCCTGGAAAGATTTTGGTAGCTTCTCAACTGGGATTTGTTGTTGCAGGTCGGCAATGTTATCTTCCGTTAAATGGAAAAACTCCGAAGATCCCCAGCAGTGACTCAGAGTTGCGTAAAATCCGTCCTGCTTTTGATTATTCGTATCGATGAGGCGGGCACTGCCGCCAACACCCAATTCAATCAGACGCTTGGGATACCAAGAGTCGCTCAAGTTTGAGCCCCTCTGGCACTGAGTGTGTTCATGTACGCAGGTATTAAGCCATTTCTTCGCTGGATTTAGAACATCCGCATGGCTTGTGTTGAGAGGTCCACTTAGAGGAGCATGGCTGCCATTTCGTACACGCCAAGGCTCCTCCGCTTCTATATCATCCTTGGCTTGAGTGACGGAGGTGCGGAATTTCGCAGATAAGCTATCCAAGTCGTTTTGAAGAAACTCCGAAGCAGCTACCAGGTATACTGTTGTTTTGTTCTCCCCTCGACGACCCCAGAAAAATTGAATACCGAAGTGCCAACGCTTGATCCGGAGAGGGAAAAACCGTGGAGCCATCAACGCATGGTTCGGAAGGTATTGTTTTCTCCAAAGCTCTTCAATTAGGAAACTGCAAATCCTACATCCATACTCGGACGCTCTTTGTAAATCTGAAAGGCTTTTATGATGGCTTTCCTCGTCACTTTGCAAGACCACAATGCACATCGCGCAGAGCATCTTGTTGGTTGAGTGATGGTTGGTGGGATAGGAACGAAGAATGCGCTCCTTTTGTTGTATGTAATATCAAGGTTGACGAGCCGTGGTGAGCGCGCACAGAAACTGCCGGGCCCCGCTTTGGTCGGAGTGTCACCATGAATTCGGCAATTGCGCCGATGAAGGATTTGTTAGCCAGGGATTCCATGTTAAACTTAGGATCACATGGTTAAGCGAGCGGAATGTACTAACTACTCGCTGCTGGCGCATACGTGAACCTCAGAAAGGAAACCTCTTCGGCTCTTGCCCTGGGCAGTCATGTGCCGTATGTGACATATGCTGCAATCATCAGTATGATGCATTATTCGATACAATTACGACTATGTTTGCAACGCGTTCTCAATAGAGTCAGTCCTATTCTAGTCAATCCGAGAGATTCTATATTTATTAGTACCACTGAATACAATAGTATTCTTCTTCTATGCGTGTAGATCTGCTGTGTTGAGGATCGGAGAGAGCTTTTTCCCAATTAGTAGCTGTGACTGACGGGTCACCAGCTACTATGAGCCTATTAGAGCCCCATACTAATTATCCTTGTTGGAGAGTCACATCATGGTGATGGTATTGAAGGATGATCGATTAGTAGCTACGGTGGGTTTGAACGATATGCGTTCAAAGCAAACTACACTAAGCCTAATCGGGCAGCGAACATGTTGTAGCAAACGCAGCCGGCCTACGCCTGCTGGCACGATCCTCAAATGGTGTATATGCTTTTGTCTTAACAGTAAACATTTGCTTACCAGCAACTCTCCCGCCATTTGATGTCCATATAAAAGTTCGTCCTACCATCTACCCGCCCGCACCCTACGTGTCTCCGTAAATACAATCCGGCGGTTGTAGAAATTATATTTGTCAGTTCTTCTCCTCCTATCCAGTAAGACGACACTTCGTAATCGCCGGAATACAGGGCTATATAGATGTCGTTTCTTCTTTGCTCCCTAGGTCAACGTTCAAGCCGCGCGATTCTCGGTAGAAAATAGAAGACATCTAGGGCGAAGAATGATTGTTACTAAAACTCATGCGACGAAATGCTGTTGATTTAGCCTCATTGGCTACGCATGAGGGATGCCTATGAAAAACAACAATGTTGTTTCGGACTTATTTGATAATTATCTACGTATTTCATGTTTACATCACAGCGAATGGATAGATTATAAGACGAATGTTACATATATACTAAAAATACCGAAAGGTAAATAGCGAAACACCTCTAGGAAACTTGGAAAAAAAGATAGAAATATTATTCAGTAAGATCTCACACACTTGCTAATTTATTATGAAAGAAAAAATGAAAGAGAAACAGCTCTTATTCAATCCTTCATCGAGATGGATGACGAAGTCCTATCTGACTCTCGAGATCACTTATTCGCGGAACCTCTCTCACTGGCTGACCTCGAAAGTCTCCGTCCGGTAGAGGTGCCGATAAATATCTCTCATCTTCATCTCTGCGGGATGAACCTTGAGATTGAGTTGGAAAAGTCTCTTGGTCGTTGAATAAGCTGGAAATCAACTCCCCGAGGGCCCCCAACAACAGTTTCATAATCAGGAAGAGTGGAAGGAGTTGTTTCAATTCTTCCATCACTCTTGCAAGCGCTTTGGCTAATTTTGCGCACAACTTGCTGAACAAGTTGGCCATTAACTCTCCGAGAGCCCCCGACAGTACATATGCAATGAAGAGGGGTGGGAAAAGTCGTCTCAACTCTCTCTCCACCGGTTGGAGATGTCGTTTCAGCTCTCCGTTCACTCGCTGAATAACTGGTTTCAGCACACCGTTTACTCGTTGAAGAAGTCGTTCTAGGCCTTTCTTGACTTTTCCGAGTGGTTTGGCTAATGCTTCCCAGCAGCTTTTGAACGCTTCGAGTAGGTCCACGACAAAGTATAAGGCAATTACAGTCAAGAGAAAGGTGATCGCTGCTGTACCGGACATCCTCGCTAAAATGGACCCCGCTGGTGTTTCACTCATGCTGAAAATTCCCGTTGCAAACCCAAGCGGGAGAAACACCACGGTAACATAAGTAAAGTACCGAGTATTCTCTGCCCCACGAAGGTTCAGGTCATCTCTAATGTAGTCGCGCCTACTAATTAGAGAAGACCTTAGTGACTGTGCCTTCTCTTGAAGTTGTAGGAGCTCTCGTACACTCTCGGCGTTCGAGAGCTGCATTCTCCTCAGTGCTGGCCTATACCTGTTCTCGTCTTTTTTGGTCCACCGTGGTGTCTCCGTCCCACGGTTCTTCTCTCTATCGTTCCAGCTTTCAATCTTTTTGACCGTATCACTTAAGTCCTCGTCCAGGACTTGGAGCAGTTGCTGGATCACCTCCCATCGCGCACTGAATGAGAAGTAGGCGTTGCCATCAATCTTGGAGAAAAGGACAGTCTCTTTGACTTTATCCGGGAGATCCTTCGTTTCGTTTTCTTCAGATCTGGATAGGCTCGTGGAAGCAAGAACGTCCTTTATCTTCTCGAGTATCTCTTGCGTGCCGGCCGTTACCTTCCTGATCATCTCTTCAAAGAGGATCAGCTCAAGAACCTTGCGCTGATTCCATGTGCGCTTCTTTGACCCACTCCCAGGAAGTGCCAGTTCGGAACTTCCAACTTTTCTTGAAAGAAAATCATTCAGAAGTTCCTCTACCTCCTGCGCGCTTCCTCCGACTTGAGTGCCTTGGTCTCCCTTCTTCTTGCCCATCCAATCACCGAAATTGATAATATGGCAAATCCAGTAGCAATCGAAAAAGTCTCCATTAAATCGAAAGCCCATAGAGGCTCGACGGATCCTCTTCGCAAGGGCAATCTCGGGCTTCGATTGAGCACCGTTTCCTTGTTTCTCAAGCTGATAGAAGGACAGTTGGAATTCAGTCTTCCATGAGTTATTTCTCGCAGACGGATCATCTAGAAAGTGCTTATCCCAGTTGTTGTGCCTTCCGAAGAAACCCGTAAGCGCTGGTTCTTCTGACTCGGGTACGGCGGCGGGACATATTGCAGCGGCTTCCTCGTCACTGGAAGATAACCAAATGATTTTCTTCTTGATGAGCATATTATCCTTCTTGGTTCGCCATTGTTGTAGCCTCGCAAAGAATTCTTCGCTGGTGCATGGTTGTGGGTCGACAAGAGTGTGGTGGTCATCCGTTTGGTTCTTCCGCTTGGGTATGTCGATAACGAGTCGTCGCAACTCCGCAACGGGGATTCTTCGCTGTGTGGTTGCATTCAGCAGATCGATGAAAGAGCGGGTTGAGTTGAAATGCAAGAAGTCTGGACAAGGAACGAGCCATTCATCCGAGATTTCGAAAATATTTTTCTGATCGGTGAAATCTTGACCACCCAATACGGTTTTAGCCCGAATGAATTTAGGCATGGAACTTCGTTTTTGTGTAGGTTGGACCATTTGTGATTCTGGTTGCTTGGTTGTCTTCCTTTGGCTGGCAGCTTCGGACTTTTCCAGTGGCGCCTGCTTTTCTTGACCGCTGGTTTCCTCCAGTCTCTCCTTAGCGTATCTCCAGAGAATGTAAGGTAGCTCAAACGATGTGTGCCAGTAAGAGTCGCGACCAGACCAACGCAGCTCCAAGCCCTCATTGAAAGTCGCTGGAAGCTTCAACTCGCGAGTGAGGAAACCTGGGAAAATGCCACTGGCAGAGCAGCTCTGGAGTAACACTTTCAACGCTCCATCAAAGATATCGCTCGCTGGTCTGGAATCGATCTGATTGCCATGTCTTGCTATTTGGATGGCTAATCCGTATTGAAGTGGTTCTTGCCAGTCTTTGTCATCGGTTCTTTGATGGCGAGTTTGAACGTCCAAAGTCCGGATCCACTCGTCAAGGACTGCCTTCCTCCCCATAAATAGTTGAGAGTATCTGGTCGCTTTCGAAGCATCGCGAAAGAATTGCTGCTCTTCGTAGAACAGTACAGTGTCCATAGTGTCCAGAAAGAAGCTGTTGTCCCGGGTGTCTCGGTAGGTCGCAAACATCCGCTCGTCGGCCAAGGTGTTTTGAGTAGTGAACCTTTTCAGTATCCTTCTTCTGGCCTGGTTGGACGTGTGTACACCAAGGGCGATCTGCCGCTCCCGCCTGTTTGCCAAATGTGGTTCCAAATCCTGGCGAGAATTCATCCCAAGATCTTCCAGCACCTCTGTAGTTTTCAGAGCTTTCCAAATCAGGACATGGTCTCTCAGGTAGTACCCTTCCTCAGCGCCCTCATGCGAGACTCTTGGAAACACACAATAGTCTCTGTTGTCACTTTTTCGAAGAGACTCAATCCACTTCTCCATGAAATCGCCCACCTGATCAACGAACCAAACTGGGACTTTATCACTTCCCTCAACTTTCGATGCAAAGTCTCCCGCGATGATAATTTGGAGCGGGGTATGCTGAGGGTTTCGATGCTCTCGTAAGCGCGTTATCTCCCGGCCGTTTGCCCAATATCCTGCAAGAAACTGGCTGTTGTCGTTTGGGTCTTTTTTGATGTGCAGAAAAACCCACTCTAAATGTCCTTTCAATGTTTCAAAAATCCGCTCTTTCAGTGTGGGAAAGTATCGTATCTCATAAAGGGAGTAAATTGCGAGGAGAAACTGGAACGCAAAGCTGGCAATGGTCAGCAAAAAATAAGTCAAACAATGTCCAGCAACTTACAAGCTTGCAGACACGAGAACATGGTGTCCAGAAATATCTCCACACGTCAGGGCTATTGGATTGCCTCTTTCTGACTGTTCAGCCATCGCTTGAGATTGTCTTGTAGACTTCTCGAAGATTTCATCTCGAACGGGCGTATCTGATACTGGAATACTGCAAACAGACAGGATATGCTCAAGATTGCGTTTCATGATGAAGTTGAAATGCTCCGACGTTGACAGAGATAGCCCTCCATCATATGAATTCTGAGCGATTAAATCGTCCAAGTTCAATACCGAGACCGGTATTAGAGTGGATTTCCAGGAATAGTCCTCTGCCTTATGCTGTAGTCTGTACACGACGGTGATCTCGAGGGAAGTATCAGACTTTGATTCCCGGTCTCTTTCGAATACGCGGACGTTTTCGGAATCAAGGTCAATCTCGTACGTTCCGCTGCGGTTCTCATCCCGTGTCTTTGCTATTTTCGTAGCACAACCGTTTACGAAAACAGCGATGACCAATTCAACTGCTTCATAAGTGGCTGGAATTCGATGGCGGGTCACCAGACTGTACTGATTTTGTCCCGTGGTGGTGTAGTATCCAGCACCATGGGGATACTCCATATTGAAATCGTTCCAAGTTTCGGCCCATTCAGATTCGCGTATTTGCAATCTTGATTTGAGTCTCAGGCAGTCCTTGATTGAAACCTTCTTTTCAGTGTTGCAAAGTGTCTCTTCGTTCCGTGGTAGCGAGTGTTCTCTCTGGCCTCCATGGGCGCAGTCCTCTGATGATAGTTGATTCTGGTTTCGATCATCCTGTACTTGATTTCCTTGAACTTGAGTGACTTCGTCCTGGCCTCTGACAGCATCGTTCTCGTGTAGACTTTGACCGACATCATCATCGGCGCTTCGAGGTGGGTGAGCACTACTGCCTTCTCTACAGTTCGTCGCTTCATGTCCTTGTGTTCTCTGGAATAAGTATTGCTGAATAATCGCTCCATGATTTGCGAAATACTGGATTGACACCGATAGATCTCCGATATCGTGGGTGTAACGTGGCCATCGGCTACGTAGGAATTGAAGTCGGGGTTTCGAGCTTGCCAGCTCGGGGTTCAAGCAAAGACCGAAACCCCCTGCAGCGTCTGTTGAAAGATCTAGAAGCTCGTGCATACGGTCTTGGAGAGACCATGGCTCAGATATGCCTGGGTCTGCACAGAAAATTCCAGATGTCCCAATACCGAGGTATCGTGATATCTGCAGAAGGCTTCCGTAGGCATTGACACTGGCAGTTGTGCCTTTCTCTCCAAAAGATGAGTATGACTCCCGACCGTGAAAAAGCCCTTCATTTCTCCACTCAATTCCGGGAGGCAGTCCTGTACTGGAAGGTATCTCAAGAAACTCATCATCGTCGGGCGAGTAAATCTGGCTGCGGGTCTCGGCTTCCTTGAGAGATTTGAACAGACTTGGGCTCGTTTCTCCTATACCAGGGTCAGGACATATCTAGGCTATTTTATGACAATAAGGAAGCTGAGAGTACCGTGAATAAAATGCTCAACGGTTTTGTCATCGATTTCATCCTCAATAGCCTTTTTGTCTGCTTCATCCTTCAAATCAGGGGAGGATTTGGAGGACATCGAGGGAAGCGGCGCGCAAAATGACAAACTCAACGTCTATCAGATAGGTAGGTGTCCAGTGTGAGCGAGATACCAAGAGCGAGGAACATGCAACTACACAAGAACTTATAGAAGCTCGATTGAGGACGACGTGGGAAGATCTGAGTCGGAGAACGCTATTTGATAAATCTGTACGCTGAATAATCTCAAGCGAGAAAAGTGGGATTCGGACGAGGCTGAGACACCAATACTGTTAGATAGCTGACATCTGATGTCGATCGACGACATATTACGTGTTCAATGCATGCATCGTCGATCGCATCCAAATTCGGATTGCACATCTTGATCAAGACTCTCCATATCGTTCTAGATTCACTTCCGCATAGGCTCACATAAGTCGTGATTCTGCCAATGGCGACCAATAGTAACCGCATTCTGTGCTGGTGGAACTCGTAGTGTCCGCCCCCACCCTGTCCAAATTCAGCTCGCTACCCCGCCCGGTTATGCACTTTATCGTACGTAGTGAGCTGAAAGCTAGGCGTTCACTTACTTTTTCTCAGGTTCCGACATTGGCCTCGGTACCGCTTGCTGATTGCTCAGCTTTGTCCTTACCGACCTTCTATTTTCGAATGGGGATGCAGATATGCGCAATCTGGCGTTCTGCATGTTCTGTATCCGTGCCCAATATTTGCCGGGTTTAATTCATGGCTGCAGCGGCGGAGAATGAATAGAAATCCGAAAAAGGTGCCGGCGGCGATGTCCGAATAATGTATTGGATTGTGTGCGCGTGCGTAGTTGGATGTGATTAAGGTGTAGCTTGCGAAGATGCTTACTTACTTTGGCCCTTTTTGCCTCGGGTCACATTTTGCAGTGATGTAGAGCAGAGCCGAAGCGATTGCGCCCTTGCTTCGGGAATCCATTCTGTTTGATTTTGGAGATTGGTGGTGGCGCTGAAGTTACTTGTCAGACAGTTCTATGTGACATTTCCTTTTTGCCAGCCCGAGTAATTTTCCGTCGTCTAATTTCTTTTGACCCCCTTAATGCTTCTTTGTTTGTGTGTTACGCGATACTTCTTTACCGTAGTTCTACAACGTGCAAGTGGAGGAGACCGGCATGCGGCGACCTGGTGCAGCACATGATTCCTGGAGCATTACCATTGCTCCACGGGGTCGCCATCCTTGCTGTATGAATTGATTTTTGTAGCATGGAAATGCTAGAAAGCATCCAGCAAGTTGAGAATGGTCCACAAAATAGTCCGCGCTTGGTTACGTTAGCAAAGGCAGGCTAGCGCCCTCGCTTACAACGACGGTGCCAGCCGAAAACCTCTCCTCTCCAACCACGACTTTTTGCCATACCCACGACCTACGCCTAACGCTCACGACGACACAATGGCCCCCAAGAACAAGAAGTCCACCGACACCCTGGCCTCGCGCCTGGCCCTCGTCATGAAGTCGGGCAAGGGTGTGTTCTGACCTCGGTCGCGTTTCCCGTCCAAAACTAACACCACGGTCGCAGTCACCCTCGGTTACAAGTCTTCCCTGAAGGCTCTCCGCATGGGTAAGGCGAAGCTCGTGCTCATCGCCGCCAACACCCCGCCTCTGCGCAAGTCCGAACTCGAGTGTATGTTTCTCACCGTCTTCCACAATTCCTGGCGGGCCTTGGAAGCCACCAGCCTGGGCGGAAGGCGCCACATTTTGCGTCACGATGGGTGCTAACATTTCTCTAGACTACGCCATGCTGGCCAAGGTGTCCGTCCACCACTACAGCGGCAACAACGTACGTCCCATTCGCCCACCCATACCTCGAGCGGCTTTGCCATACTGGTGATGAGGATCTTGCAAATCGTCCCGACGATTCCTGCAATTCCCTCGGGGCGATCGGTTCTCGCAACCTTTCGCCCGGTCCTGAGAAGAAGCTTGAAATGAATAAGCTTTGGAGGACCAACAACAAATGCTAACAATCATACCATAACAGATTGAGCTGGGCACGGCTTGTGGAAAGCTTTTCAGGTGCTCCACTCTGGTTGTCTTGGATGCTGGCGACTCCGACATCCTGGTTGGTTCTTCGGCCTAAGCGTCGAGTCCGTCTTGATTGCCGTCTAGCAGGACGTGGGATCTGGCGAAGGCAGGCCGCTCCGAGAGAGTTTGGCTGAATAAAAAATGCAAAATTATCACTGAGATTGACTTGCCCCATGTTTTGTGAATATACGCGTCTCTGAAAGGTCGATTTGCATCTGCGAATCCGCTTCACTGGACCCCATTTGAGTTTCACAGATTCCTTGCTGCCTGCATTTCAGAAACACGCCGAAGGATACGCCGGACTCGCCTTGCTCCGGAGTCCTTCCACCAGGCTGACCCGGGAATTGTGTTTCAAGCCTCTGGATATGCGCTGCTGATCTCCGACGCCTTTTTTCCCCGCAAGCCTGTCCGAGCTACTCCTCAGACTCGGACAATCACAGTACACGACTGATGCTCCCTTTAACAAGTCTGATCGTGCATCGTCCGCTTGTCTCGAAGGCCTCGGAGAAACCCGAAGGGCATTTGCTCCAGTGCATGTTGGATGCGGAATAAAGAAAACCAGTGTCAGAAATTGTGAGACCTTATTTCGAGAATGTAATTTCCGGTGGAGGGCTACTCTGGTACAAATGCTAAAAGCAAAGCCATGTTGAATGGCATCGCAAAACAAACCCAATGGAACACGCAGATACGGAACTCCGCCTCCAAGCCAGGACTTCCACCAAGTAAATCAAACAAGCTCAAGTAAATTTTAAAATCAAACTGTAGGTAATTTCGCGGCGGCTTGAACTACTTATCTTTTTTCGTATATTAAACTGGCTTGATTTACTTAAGACTAGTTTTACCTGATACCCCTGCAATATCCCTGCTAGAGGAGAGGTAAGGGTATATATATTCCTACCGTACCCCTGCCTCCCCCCTGCTTTCCCCCTTACTTCCCTTTACCCAGGTAATTATCGGCTGATTTGATTTACTTAGTATTTTAAGAGGGTGAAAATTGATTTACTTAGTGGGGGCTAAAACTGAGTAGGTAAAAACGAAACTCGATTTGAACTGCGAAACTGTTTCAAACTGCCAAGCTTACTTGAATTGGTGGAAGTCCTGCTCCAAGCTAGTGCTCCACCTTCCAACACAAACGCCAACAAAACGACCCTTCAACAGAAGAACCAAAGACAACTGCACGCCCACCTGCAAAGCACGCACAACCCAGCACACCGACAACCAACCGCAATTAACTCCTTCCCCGCCACACCAACATCAATTCCGAACCGCCTCTTCCTCTCCCCCGTTTCCGACCTCGCCACTTCATCCTCCTCTTCATCCCACCAGCCCAAGCTCAGAACCTCTCCCAGAAGCTCGTCATCCAGCTCCCCATCGCGCTCTCGGATCATCCGGACCAGGCGGCTTCCGGCAAAGAGCTTCATCTTGGCCGCGATGCTACCCGGATCATAGGGCAGTAAACGAGTTTTCGGTGTGAGAGCGAAATAAATGGCTGCGCAGAGCGCCATAGCGCCCAAGATGCCTTCAAGAATTCACGTCGCTATGGCGCTTTGGACCAGGCGTTCTTGACGAGTGAAGACGGTGGCGTTGAAGGTGGACGGGTCGAGCAGGCCCGGGAGAGCGGCGCTGATGTTCGGGGTCATTGGAATCCGATGTTCGTTCAAGATCTGCACTACGGTTCGTGCATAGACGTGTTCCATCCGGCTGACAAGGCGGTCGGCGTTGGCGCGACCCAGGAGCTCTTCTATCGGCGGACCGTCTTTGCCATAGGTAACGGCCGTGAAGAAGCCGTCCATGTTTATTTTGGAAGGATTATCATCGTAGAGGGCGGGCATCCCTATCGTCAGGATGTCTGTGTAAGTCAAGAGGCGTTTCTCGCTGTCTTCCTCGTCTGGTTGCGGATTTCCTTCAGAGAGGTCAATGGTGTAGTTCGGCAGCGTAAAATTGACAACGGTGTGCAGGGCTTCTATGTAAGGTGTGCATTGAATAAGAGAAACGTCTTCGAGTACGTCATGGCCCACCCGAGCAACAGCAAACCATCTATATGTTGGAGTGTTGTAGCCAATTTCTGTGCTATTGGGGATCGGAGAATCATCGATGGAGCTCAACAGACTCGCCGCACGATAAGTAGCATTGGGAATGATGCCCACACCCCCTGAGTAAAATTCCGTCGTTGGCTCCCTATCAAGATACTCAGGGAGAGATGCAATGCTGAAACTTTTCGAATCGTAAGGAGCTTGGTCCCAAATCCCTCGAAAAGTGAAATCATGGCCAGACTCACCCGTATTCAGAGCGCCAATCGCATGCCTAAGCAAAGCACCACTTGAACACGCCGCGACCATCTCCGTTCAGATATCCCGCTGATCTCACGCTCGACGCTACACCACAAGGTTCACAAATCTTGGTTCCGCGCCCTTTTTTTCCCCTGGTTGGAGTACTTCTCTGAACACGAGGGACCACCATCATTCAACATGGAAAATTTACATTACGACATCCTCCGAATTTCCCTATAAACTCCAGGCGTGAGAGTTTCAGTACCACCTCGACTACGGACAAGGCCGACCGGCCCCATGAGCGACAGTAGTTCCATACGTCACACTCTGCACGCTCACGACAGTCTTGAAATGGACACCAACAATAAGTACAAGGACAGCTATGGCTGGGAAAAAATTCTTGGGGCTTTTGGGGGGCAACCATTATGTCTGCATTCAGGCCAATCATAATACAACGATGACATCGTGGCAGGGTTTCAGATGCAGGTGCTGAAGGAAGTGGACATCCCGTGAATAAATACGGGTACGAAAGAACGTCGGTCCTTGAGAATGGCTGGATGTGCTTGGCGGAACATTGCTGTATGCTAGTCAGGCCTCCTACCAGACCACCGGACCCAGAGGGGTGCCGAGTCCCTCCACAGCCTTTCAGATTCTGGGTTGAGAGGACGGCGTGGCAATGTGGGAGAGGAAACTATAGCCAGACGGCCAAGCCGCAATGCGCCACCTCCGCCAACCCATGGATGGTAATAATCCACCGGCTTTGAGACTCCAGCCACGAGAATCTCGATCGATCCAGTGACCCTCGAGGTTCTGCAAGAGTAGGTAGTAGTTTCATGGGCCCATGGCTGGGGTTTGAAGGGAGAACAATATCAACGACGAACAATGAAGACTGGGAACAATATCAACACCACATGCCAAAAGCTCACGCATCACCAACCACATCTATCTTTGTACCATATCTCTTTGTCCAACCTCCATATAGAGAACGTGTGCCCCTTCCTACCCATCGCTACCTGCTCCAGCAGATACAACCTTACCCATATACATTCCTTACACCAACCACACCAACCATGCAACTCACCAACACCCTCCTCCTCACCCTCAGCGCCGTAGCACTCACCCTCGCCGCCCCGCAAGTCGGCGCCACCCCCGAACTCGGCGTCGCCAAAGACTTCCCGGCCACGGACCTCGACTTCCTCGACTTCGCCATCCCGGACAGCCCCGGCGCCACCATCACGCCCACCACGACCACCACCCCCAGCACCAACGCAACAGCAACCAAGCTCGCGCCGCGCCAGAACGGAACGGTGGCGCCGAAGCGGATGCGGTACTGCCAGCACGACAACGGGCGGGGCGAGTGCCGCAACATCGAGTTCCCGGACATGAAGTGCGTGAACCTGGACCGGGCGTGGGACAACCGCATCAGCAGCGCGTACATCAACGCGCCGTGGTGGTGCCGGTGGCACCCGGAGAAGAACTGCAAGGGGCGCAGGGTCGACATGCGGTTTCCTGGCATCTTCAACTTCAAGACGGTCGGGATGAATGATCAGGCGAGTTCGTTTTTTTGTTGGCATATGTTTTAAGTTGGGGTGTATGGGGATGGAGATAGAGAGAGAAAGGAACTTGTGCATGTTTTGCTGCTAGAGAGGTTTGGAAGTGTATTATTAGTACGACGCACCACGCTGTTTGGCGGTGATGTCTGGTCTTTTCTTCAACTCCCCTTGTTTCCCCACTCTTCTGGTAGTTTATACTTTCGCTTGAATTGTATATTTGTGTATTTTCGTTCCGAAATACCTTCAACAGCTGTCGTGATTGACTTTCCTTCAGGATGACAAAGAAGCGGCTTTTGACCAGCGATGAGGATTTGCCGTATGCAAGAGGCTGGCCGGAAGAACCGAAACGGATGGGACACCGGCTTTGTTGATCTTGCCCGGGGACTTGTATCCTGTTTCAGCCTCGTTGATTTGGACGAAAACTCTCGAGGTGATGCGCAGCATCAGGACGCTGACCTGAGAGTGGAGATCATGTTCGATGCTGTCAACGCAGCGGTTGGAGCTGTCTCTAACACCTGGAATCAGCTTCAGCCCCATTATCTCTTCCCCAGCAAGACTTTGTGCTAGCGGAACACCCAGAGTCTTGGGCAGCCAGGAATGCAAGGCGTCGCCGCCGAGGAGGACAGCTTCAGCGAACACGAGGCGTGGCCACCATTGGGGTGTGCGATGAGTACAAAGAACTGACCAACTGGCGCTCTCCGAGTGCAACTCGGACGTTTCTGGCAGAGAGAGACAGCTGGGATGGGCCTCGTTCCTGGTGCTAACTTCGTCTGAGACAGACAAGAGCGTTTGCGGCTGGTCGGGCGGCAGTTGTGACGATGCTACCTTACCCTAGCTTTCAAATGCTTCGTGCTGTGGCCTCATAGGCTCGGCCATTGTCATTTTGATCCAGTTCAATGTATGAGGTGGCACGGCGGCAGTTAGAGAGATGGTTCGCGGTCTTGATGGCTCTCTGTTGTGTCGAGGGAAGGATAGTGACAGGCGATGCATGGTACATCTCGATCTGGTAACATTTATCTGGATACTAACTCATTGATCAGTCTAATGCGGAGCTTGACAGAAGAGGATGATTCGGAGGAGTATGGGGTGCTTGATCCAAGAAATATCTTCACAGTGAGTTAGTGATGCTAGTAGTCATGACAGATGAGTTCAAGACAAGGGGTAGGATGGCAGAGAGAAAGGTGAGCATCGGTTCAAGATTCTGGAAGTGCCCATGGGATCTAATGTATGTTTTGGAAAGATGCAAGGCGAAGACGGTGGCAGGAACACGACGACATCGTCCTGTTGGAGGAACGTGAAGAGAGATTGACGTGGGAATGAACCAGACAAGGTATGGTCAAGCTCAGCTGGGAGAGTAGATGTGATGAGACTTGCGGCAGAAAGCTGGTCTCGAGTGACGCTAAATGATGCTTCGCGGTTGTGAGACGGTGGGGTAGTGGGCTGCAGCGACAAGAAAATTCGCAGACTGAGGCTTTCGCTTGCGTGTCTGGTGGGAGGAAAAGGCGGTCGGGCGTAGGATGGTTCCAATGGTCTGGTAAAATCAGCGGCTCGAAGCCGTCGTCGCGCCGTCCAGTGTCCATTCTGCCTCGTTATTTTCGGCGAGATGGTCAAATTGCGCGCCCTGCTTCCGCGACAAAGGAACTCACAGCCAAATAGGCATTTAGCAAGTTTGTGCCTTGTATGCTCGAGGAGTTCAGCTGGAGCTTGCGTGCACGTACACAGGGCGCTTGCCGCGGGAGAGTAAGTAGCCCGTGTGTTGGACATATTAGCAGGTCTCGTCGATGCTCAGCCTGTTCAAATATGTTGTGTCAGCACCCCGCTCTCGTCGGGGCCTCGTGTTGCGCAGCCATTGCGGTCGCAGGCGTTCTTCGCAGCTGTGTTCCAGTCCAGAGTTGGCTGCTTGCGTCTGAAATGTGATAGTTTGCTCGAGACGGTCTTGTCTGCGGTAGCAGAAGCTAATGATAGCCAGAGCGTAGACAGATCCATTTTACTCTGTCTAACCGCGCTGAAAGTGGACATACCGTGATAGCAGTGGGGGCGCGGCGCTGAGAGCATGCTGAGAATCAGAAGAGCATGGCTAGCCTCCAAGACGAAATAGCGACTGACCCGCGGCATTGGTAGAGCCATGAAATCAGTTTTCCACCGCCGACAGACTCCCCGAACGGACCGGTGTACCCTTCGAGGCCAGTCAAAGGGCCGAATGATGACAGTGGGACCCATGCGGCTGCCACAGCTGCTACGCACGGGTCAAGTAGCGCGTCATAGCTACGACCGAGGCACTTCACTTCACCTCGCCAGAGATCCGACGCAAATAGCACCACCTGCCGATGCAGACGGGGCCAGCGTAGGCGCTGGGTGCCAAGACCAGCTTCGCTTAATCGAGCAGCAGCGCACAATGGCCATTCGAAAGGTGTCCGGTCTCACCTCCTCGTCTTCTTCGCTCCACATCTACCCTCCACACCACCCGCTCCCGCCTTCGCCACCTCGCCTCGACCCACCCATAGCTCACAAGCTTAGATCAGCCACCGGTGGTATGAATTACTACTTTCGCCTTGCCCTTTCTGCGCCCAGCGACCGATCCACGACATCATCAAGATCTTGAAGCTGATGCTCTGATAGGCTGAGCAGCAATGTCAACCGCTGCGCAGCAGCCGCCTTTCGCAACCGCTTCGCAGCACCATTGATCCAGCTTGCTTTGGTTCATCGGTGAGTCATTCTGCATCAAACCTTCTTCATGGCCGTCGCTGAACCAGCGCAGGATCTTCCGCCACTGGCCGCAAGCTTTGGCGATGCCACCAGCAACCATCCGCCCATGGACCAGCCGGCGCAATGATGTTTACATGCTTTCACACACGCTCACCACCTTTCTGAATGAATTCACACCAAGACACAGAATCGGAGCAATGGTAAAAAAGGGTGCGTCAGCATCCTTATCGCTGGCATATCACGGCCTCAACGTCGATTATCACTCAACCCGGTGCTCCTGTAAGTCTTTTGGAGGATTCTATACCTTCGGCCCCACCAGGGGATTCGTGTGGATGTAGGTGTTTGCTGCTCTCGGCTTTATTCTCGCGCTGTCGATCTCCGCGCCTGGCCAGCCTGACTGGCATAAGTTCGGCCCGGGAGAGTCGATCCATGAATCCATCCACTTGGGCCTCACCTTCGATCACAACCCCGTCGCCTTCCTCGACAGAGGGCCTTGGCAGTGCGTCCGTCTTGACTATCCCTCGCTCAAGCAGACGAGCGCTCCCCAGGAGCGCGCCGGTCTGACTAAGCACACCAAGCCTGCTGTTCGTGGCAATCAGAAGGTTACCATTGGCGACCATGTCGGCGGTGTGCCCGTCTTGACTGTCCCTCGGAAGCAAGAGATTCTCGTTGCTCACGAGATTACCGATGAGGAGCGCGTTTCCAAGCCTACCGCCCATGTCGTCCACAAGAAGTACTCTGACCCCAAGGGCAAGATGCCCCGCTTTGGAATTCTCATCCCCAGTCGGCCGCATGAGCGATGAGGCATTCATCATCTCCCTCGTCATTCGGAGCATCGATTCGGTCGGCCCTGGGCCTTCGCAACCCGGAGCCTGCAACCTCGCTCCAAGGAGCAATGCCAGCTATGACTTCCAAAGTCTATGTAAGAAACGAACCTGCAGATCAACTCGCGCTCGACTGGCCATTCAGGGGAATGGCCCTGGCCACGCGTACTCGATGCAATCTCGCCTGGCCCGAACTTTTCGTCTTCTGGGCAAAGAGAGCAGGGGCTCCACGAGCCCTGGAACTCTGAAGGAGATCGAACTGGTGTCATGTGGTCAGAGCGCCCTCGAACACCTCTCGTGGAATATATCCGACTTTAGATCCGGAGTTCTTCTACGCCCCTATCGTACCGAACCGTGAAGACGTGGCTTCCCCGCCTGCCGCAAACAATTCTTCATCAAGTAATTTTCTGGCGGGGAAAAAAAAGGAAGAAATGTCAGATCCAAGACATGGAATCTCCACTGAAAGGGGACTCGGTGGGCTTGCGTCGCGTATTGCAAGGACCACTTCCGCGACCAAGACAAGTGCGACGGGCTCTCGTTGCATCGCGTTCAACGGCTCGGTCCATTTGCTAAAGTCCTTTCCAGATCGATCTGGGAAGGAGCCCGGACAGCTTGTGGACTGTGCTTGTTGGGGTGCGACTTTTGCCCCCCCTTTGTGGTCTTTGGGTTGGGAGTGGTGGAACAGAGAGAGGAGGGAGGAGGCGGTGGTCCACCTATTACAGCAGGCGGTGGAAAGGGATCTGTTATCTCACGCTTTTTCGCTGCCGGGCTCCGGCGCCATCGTCCCTCCTGGCTGCCCGCCCTCGGACATTGGCTTTCTCTATACCCGTCGCCCTCCCCCAAAAGGCACGTGCGGATGCCCCAACATCCATCCGGTGGACTAAAGACGGAAACCTGCTTCACCATCGCCTTCTTCCTTTAAAAAAACGGCTTCTCGTTGTACCACAAGGTTGGCGCTTGGTTTGCACACACACACACACATACACATACGGATGGCGCGAAACACATTCACTTTCTGGTCTTATGCGAAAGGCCTGCTTTGGCCGGGCAGATTTCCGCCTTGTCTGAGGCTCTCGTGTTGTTCCCTTTATTCTCGACTCGGGACAGCAGCCCTCCGGAGGCCGAGGCGGCATGCAACGAGCTGCTGGATGTCGTGCTGGCAGAACTGAGGGGGGCCGCGAGCTGCCCAATGAAGATGGAAAAGAGGAGCGTTCGTAAACTCCTACTAGAGAAGACTTGCTTCGGAGGGGATGGAAGCCGTTCGGACAGATGGCGTTCGTCTAATACCCGTCGTCCCGTAGTCCCTATGCAGCACAGCTCAAGGGAGTCGAAGAACCTCGTAGTCCATGCCCACAACGGGCGTTTGTGAAGCCAGGGTTAAAGCTTACACATCAGGAAGCCAAACCTTACTTCAACACAGTGGGAAAATATCACATGGTTATATAGATGCTCAAGAAGACGCATGCCGTCATGGTGCTCGAGTAGGTGATCGTGGCATCCTGGGCGGGGTTGTCTGCATGATGGACAAGTATGCGGAGGAAATGGGTTGCAATTCCAAGATACGCAAGATAGAGTAGAGAAATTTCAATGCAGGATAAAAAATACATTACACAGGATACTGGCCGACAGCTACCATGCGAGGTCCTGGTCGTGACAGTGAGCTCCTGTTAAGAGAGTATTATGTGATTGTGCGATGCGTAGTAAGTTACTGGCCAAACGTATTGTGGGAGAATCTTGAACACGACCAGAAGCCTCCAATGCTGCCCCGTGAGGACAGTCAGAATAGTTAGTTTCATCTTGCTCCTGCATTGAATCAAACGTTATTACTTCACTTCATCCGTCTGGGAAACGCCAACCGCGCTGCGTGGGTGAGACGATAACAAGGCGATCAACAACGCCTTGTTTTGAAGCTGTGATATGCCGCTGGCGGACAACCTCAAGTCAACTCAGCCCTGGTGCACTGGACACACACGTTATCTTTGTGGAGGATGGGTGACTCTGTATGCTGCGAATCGCGGATAATAGGAGCCCACGCTGCTGTTGATCGTCAGCGCTAGCGACCGGTGCAGTGCTGGACCTAAGAAGATTTCCTGCTCCTGTGTGAGAATCCAGCTACATCAGGGGTGGATGTGCAGCTTAACTGGATGGCATGAGGAGTAGAACATGTGTGAAGCGGCGAGGAAGCTGGCGCAAACGCCTAACCGCGCGAAGTGTCTGCGGTCCTGCTTTCGTCCGTGACCGAACACCGAAGCACTGCTATGGAAGTGGAGGATGATGGGTTCCGTGGTCTTCTCGGCGGAAGCTTCATATCCATGAAGGAGTGGGCAGCTTTTGAGCTACCAGCAAAAAGGGGAGGTGTCTTTGGCTTCGGGTCACAGCAAGCTAGTCGAGGAGCCCCCAACCTTCATGTACAAAGAGCGACGCACCTGTACTAGCCATAACACAGGATATGTTTCACCCAACGGCCCCAGCCCTCATTCTATCCCTTCACCTTCCACAACCAAGCAGCCAGCAAGCACCGCCGCTCTCCACCTTCCCCGATATCCATTCTGGCTCTCATTTTAGCCAATAGTCTCGTATTCACAAACCCAGACATGGATTCCAGCAGCAGTGCCTTCGTCTTCTCTCCAAAAGCGCAGATTATGCTTACCTGGTTCTAAACTTCCCACGCTGAGCCCCACGCTCATCCAGAAACCGGGCGCTGTCAAAGCCATCCTCCTTGTTCTCAGTATGGGGCAACGCAGGAGCCCTCCTCTGGAAGTGCCGCCGTACCAGCTACCAAAGGATGCCGAGTCCAGTAGCGGCGGCACAGGGTCTTTGTTCCTGAGCGCCCCTGAACAACAACGTAGTCGCCCTCTTCCCGGCAAGTATACTTTGTTTGTTGGCCGTTGGCCGCTCGGCGGAGCCGCCTGAGGACGGAAGGGACGGGTACGGTCATCGGATTGGAATGGAGTGGAGGGGGGCGGATCGAGATCGCCGCCAGACCGGAAGGCGTTGGAAGATTGCAAGGAGGCTTCGCGCATTGGGTCGTGCGGATACGCTCTGATGAGGCTATTCTGTAGAGATGTCAGCAAAAGCAAGGCGAAGAGCTTACACATGCATGGGAGCAGGAGGAGGCGCATCTCGCGATAGCTACCGCGGCACGCGGGTCTGGCGGCGGCGGCGGCTGGAGCCGTAGCTGTTGGGCACGCGTGATACTGCATTATCTAGCGGGTGGGCGACATTCGGAAGGGCCGTCGACGTCGATCATGTTAGTGGTCGAGGATTGGCGAAGAGCGGGGAGGACGCGGACGGAGGAGGCGGCGGATGGCAATATGAAGCGTGACGTGACGGCGAGGGATGAGCAGCAGCAACTGGCTGCTAGAGAGAGAGGTGGGGCTTGTGTGGGATATTGCATGGGGTAGTGTTGCAGTACGGGCATATGCAGCTCGCGAAATCTCGCGCCGGAGACAGAGGCGCGCTGTCGGGTGTGGATGAGCTTGGGCGTCGCAGGCCGCGGAGCGGAAACGCGCCGCGGCGACCAGGTTGTCGTGGATGTGTCTCGTCAGTGGGAAATTGAGGCGAGCGGGCGCATCGAAACCTTGGTGGGCATGACTTTGCAAGATCGACGCCGTCGAGAGGGGTTGGGGGGCGAGCCTGGCTGAGCGCGGTCATCGACGGCTGTGGGATGCGTCGGGCGCCGCGAACGAGCTTCCTGGCAGCTCGAAGGTGACTCTGGAACCATAGCAAGCTTTTCGCCGTATGGCTGTCGTCATACTCAGCGGGGCGAGGGCAGTAAGGCTCAGTATTGTGAAGTCCTGCCAAAGCATTGGCGTCAACCGCGTCGCTCCGCCAGGCCAAACACTCGGCGACGAAGGTCGTGCCGCACAAGTCCACACGCTTAGGACACTACTACAGAGCGACCCGAGCGCGATATGTGCCACTGTACCATCGGCATGACTGTCGCAAAGCTGCTACGAGCTGAGTGACGAGCGCGCGCGCTGATCCGTCGTGCGCCCACAGCGGCTCGCGTCACCACCGTCGAGGAGAGCATCGCCCAGGGCTAAACCACCAAGACTGGCCTCCTCACTGAGGCTGATGGGCATAACAACCGCCGCAGTCAATGGCAGCTAAGCTGGGCGGGCGCTGAACATCGAAGACCCAGATATGCCAAAGCTCGCCAAAACACCAAAGTGCGAGTCGCAAGTCACAAATGAGAAAATTTTTTTCTTCCTCAAGAGCCGGCTCAAGGCCAGCAAATTGACGAAAAAAAAAAGAGGTCGCGTCAGCCCGAAGTAGTGCAATACGAGCGACACTGTGGCAGCGAAGTATGAGCGGAGCTCAGGGACCAGCCACCCGGTTCCAAAATTATGGTTAATCTTTGAGGCCCGGAGGCCGTTCAAGAGATTAACCTTGAAAGAACAGCTACTTCGCTTGATCTAAGCCAAAAGGCAAAGAGAGCTGAAGAAGAAAAAGAGGAGCGTTCGGCGAGGATCGCAGGGCTATTTAAGGGCACGCCAAGACCTGTTGGTTGCGCCGGCACGAGTGGTGGTGGTTGCGTCGGGCAACGGGGCGGTAGCTGAGTAACTGCTTCTTTCAGCAGGATGGCCTTACGTGGTCGCGGCGGATGATGGGCTTGAAGCGGCGGCTGCCTGGCGCCCTGGCTCGTGAAAGCCCGAGGGCAAAGCAGGTGGCTTCGTGAAAGGGGTCAGCTGCTCGTGCTGGCGGCAGGGTGGGCACGGATTGGGCAGGAGTGCTCCAGCGAGAGAGTCAGAGGTCGCGCTGTACCAGGCTCCTTCGTCATTCGCAGCCTCGAGCTCAGCTTCAAGACAAAGGGTCTTCGGACGCTGCGGCATGTGCTTGCTGCTGACTATCCTCATGCGGAACCAACGATGATGGCGTGCTTCAAATGTACGGGACGCCGCTGCGAAGATGGTCATGCGATTGGACTATGACTTAGCCTTGAATTCAACCTCATGGATATCCCCCTCTCTGACAGG